TACCTGCCTCCTTTTGGGAAACCTTGTTGGCCTGGCAGTGATGTTGGGTCTGACGGGCAAATGAAGTAGATCGGGTGCTGGGTCCGAGCCCGCCAGGGGTATCTGGGGATCTATCGCTCTGGTTATCTCTGGTTTCCCAGCAACTGGGTAAGGCCTCGATCGGGTAGTGGTGTAAATGGGAGGTTGGGGTTCCCCCCGTCAGCGTGCTGGCGGTCCCCTTCCTTCTGGCTTTGATGGCGGGTTCTGCCTGTCAGGGATTAGATAGGTCCCGAGTGTTGCTTGCACTATGGCACGTCCAGGGCACTCCTTTTAGTCCAAAGGGCTTCGGCCTTGTTGGAACTTAATTGGGGTGGGCGTGGGAATAAAGTAGCCGGTATCCCTGGTTAGGATTGAGGGGCAACCTTCTCTCCGATGGGTTATTTGCCGTAAGGCAGCCGGTGAGTGTGATGACCTTAAGTCATCCTCCTTTGGTGTCATAAAGGTTGGAGCGTCAGTTCCAATCGGCATCATAGGTCCCGGGTTAAGTAATAGGTACCGGGTGTGTCGTGGAGTTTCGGCTCTGCTGACTAAATATGACATGACATGATACCGTAGTATCCGTGAACATGTCCTCTATTAAGTTTTTATAGTGGAATTTCTGCACGCGTTTCTATTGACCCGTAATATCGTCGTCAATAGATTTCGCGTGAGCGCTTCGTCACTATTCTGGCCCCTGGAAGACGCTGAAACGTTCCTGAGATACTACATTGATACCGTAGTATCCGTGAACATGTCCTCTATTAAGTTTTTATAGAGGAATCGCTGCACGCGTTTCTATTGACCAATAATATCGTCGTCAATAGATTTCGCGTGAGCGCTTCGTCACTATTCTGGCCCCTGGAAGACGCTGAAACGTTCCTGAGATACTACATTGATACCGTAGTATCCGTGAACATGTCCTCTATTAAGTTTTTATAGTGGAATCGCTGCACGCGTTTCTATTGACCCGTAATATCGCCGTCAATAGATTTCGCGTGAGCGCTTCGTCACTATTCTGGCCCCTGGAAGACGCTGAAACGTTCCTGAGATACTACATTGATACCGTAGTATCCGTGAACATGTCCTCTATTAAGTTTTTATAGTGGAATCGCTGCACGCGTTTCTATTGACCCGTAATATCGCCGTCAATAGATTTCGCGTGAGCGCTTCGTCACTATTCTGGCCCCTGGAAGACGCTGAAACGTTCCTGAGATACTACATTGATACCGTAGTATCCGTGAACATGTCCTCTATTAAGTTTTTATAGTGGAATCGCTGCATGCGTTTCTATTGACCCGTAATATCGCCGTCAATAGATTTCGCGTGAGCGCTTCGTCACTATTCTGGCCCCTGGAAGACGCTGAAACGTTCCTGAGATACTACATTGATACCGTAGTATCCGTGAACATGTCCTCTATTAAGTTTTTATAGTGGAATCGCTGCACGCGTTTCTATTGACCAGTAATATCGCCGTCAATAGATTTCGCATGAGCGCTTCGTCACTATTCTGGCCCCTGGAAGACGCTGAAACGTTCCTGAGATACTACATTGATACCGTAGTATCCGTGAACATGTCCTCTATTAAGTTTTTATAGTGGAATCGCTGCACGCGTTTCTATTGACCAATAATATCGCCGTCAATAGATTTCGCGTGAGCGCTTCGTCACTATTCTGGCCCCTGGAAGACGCTCAAACGTTCCTGAGATACTACATTGATACCGTAGTATCCGTGATCATTAAGTTTTTATAGTGGAATCGCTGCACGCGTTTCTATTGACCAATAATATCGCCGTCAATAGATTTCGCGTGAGCGCTTTGTCACTATTCTGGCCCCTGGAAGAAGCTCAAACGTTCCTGAGATACTACATTGATACCGTAGTATCCGTGAACATGTCCTCTATTAAGTTTTTATAGTGGAATCGCTGCACGCGTTTCTATTGACCCGTAATATCGCCGTCAATAGATTTCGCGTGAGCGCTTCGTCAATATTCTGGCCCCTGGAAGACGCTGAAACGTTCCTGAGATACTACATTGATACCGTAGTATCCGTGAACATGTCCTCTATTACGTTTTTATAGTGGATTCGCTGCACGCGTTTCTATTGACCCGTAATATCGCCGTCAATAGATTTCGCGTGAGCGCTTCGTCACTATTCTGGCCCCTGGAAGACGCTGAAACGTTCCTGAGATACTACATTGATACCGTAGTATCCGTGAACATGTCCTCTATTAAGTTTTTATAGTGGAATCGCTGCACGCGTTTCTATTGGCCAATAATATCGCCGTCAATAGATTTCGCGTGAGCGCTTCGTCACTATTCTGGCCCCTGGAAGACGCTCAAACGTTCCTGAGATACTACATTGATACCGTAGTATCCGTGAACATGTCCTCTATTAAGTTTTTATAGTGGAATCGCTGCACGCGTTTCTATTGACCAGTAATATCGCCGTCAATAGATTTCGCGTGAGCGCTTCGTCACTATTCTGCCCCCTGGAAGACGCTGAAACGTTCCTGAGATACTACATTGATACCGTAGTATCCGTGAACATGTCCTCTATTAAGTTTTTATAGTGGAATCGCTGCACGCGTTTCTATTGACCAATAATATCGCCGTCAATAGATTTCGCGTGAGCGCTTCGTCACTATTCTGGCCCCTGGAAGACGCTCAAACGTTCCTGAGATACTACATTGATACCGTAGTATCCGTGATCATTAAGTTTTTATAGTGGAATCGCTGCACGCGTTTCTATTGACCAATAATATCGCCGTCAATAGATTTCGCGTGAGCGCTTTGTCACTATTCTGGCCCCTGGAAGAAGCTCAAACGTTCCTGAGGTACTACATTGATACCGTAGTATCCGTGAACATGTCCTCTATTAAGTTTTTATAGTGGAATCGCTGCACGCGTTTCTATTGACCCGTAATATCGCCGTCAACAGATTTCGCGTGAGCGCTTCGTCAATATTCTGGCCCCTGGAAGACGCTGAAACGTTCCTGAGATACTACATTGATACCGTAGTATCCGTGAACATGTCCTCTATTACGTTTTTATAGTGGATTCGCTGCACGCGTTTCTATTGACCCGTAATATCGCCGTCAATAGATTTCGCGTGAGCGCTTCGTCACTATTCTGGCCCCTGGAAGACGCTGAAACGTTCCTGAGATACTACATTGATACCGTAGTATCCGTGAACATGTCCTCTATTAAGTTTTTATAGTGGAATCGCTGCACGCGTTTCTATTGGCCAATAATATCGCCGTCAATAGATTTCGCGTGAGCGCTTCGTCACTATTCTGGCCCCTGGAAGACGCTCAAACGTTCCTGAGATACTACATTGATACCGTAGTATCCGTGAACATGTCCTCTATTAAGTTTTTATAGTGGAATCGCTGCATGCGTTTATATTGACCCGTAATATCGCCGTCAATAGATTTCGCGTGAGCGCTTCGTCACTATTCTGGCCCCTGGAAGACGCTGAAACGTTCCTGAGATACTACATTGATACCGTAGTATCTGTGAACATGTCCTCTATTAAGTTTTTATAGTGGAATCGCTGCACGCGTTTCTATTGACCCGTAATATCGCCGTCAATAGATTTCGCGTGAGCGCTTCGTCACTATTCTGGCCCCTGGAAGACGCTGAAACGTTCCTGAGATACTACATTGATACCGTAGTATCCGTGAACATGTCCTCTATTAAGTTTTTATAGTGGAATCGCTGCACGCGTTTCTATTGACCCGTAATATCGCCGTCAATAAATTCCGCGTGAGCGCTTCGTCACTATTCTGCCCCCTGGAAGACGCTGAAACGTTCCTGAGATACTATATTGATACCGAAGTATCCGCAAACATGACCTGGTCAATGTTCTACCCACTGAAAGACGCTTCTACATCTTATGGAAATTGGAGTTAAATGCAATGATATATAAAATATATCATCCCATTGCTTATTTCCCGTCCTTGTGCTACAGCTGAAGCCAATTTCAGCTGTACCTATATTGTTATAAGTTATTAACTAACATACTATAGTTCGGCCGCTTAGAAAACGACCTGCGCGCTAATGCTAAACCAATGCTGGAGGAGGTCGTTTTCTAAGCGGCCGACCTAAAATTTCACATCAATATTCAATATTCATCGCAATAGACTTTTAAAACATAAGGTATTACAATTGTATTGAAACCACACATAAAATAGATAGGTAAACAATTTATTCTTGTACTAATTAATAAGTTGAACTGATGATAAAGATATTTTTTTTTAATTTGAGTCTGAAAATCATATTATTATGTTGTCAAACTCATAATTTGCACAAGCTTATTTTTAAGGCAATAGCCTACTGGTTGTTTTAAATATACAATATACACGGGCTTTAATGCAAATATTTTATATTCCATAAAGCATATTATATATTATTTATATTCCGTAGCACTTATGACAGTGACTTAAATCCACTCCAAGTAGCTTAAACTCAGTCAAACGTTGAAATAACCTATAACACGTAGACAGGAGAAGCGGGAGAAGAGTACAATAAGGAGAGAGAGAGAGCGCGCGCGCGCACTACTGGTGGCCTTGAATGGCGAGACCGCACGCACGCACAGGCGCGCGCACTATTTATTGGTGAGTTATTGGCAGATTCACATCAATATTTAATTCGACACTTGTTATTTAATGACTGCACCTTATACATAGGTCTGTTCCATGTCCTTCATGTTTTTTATAAGACAAACTTTGTCATCTTCATCAACATTTTAGCTTATTGATTTAGCTTTGGCGAAAATGTATGCCTTCATGTACAGTATGTTGTTTTATAGTAATTTAGTGTTGAAAACCCAACTTTTTGGGGGGAGGAATAGTTTTAAAACTTCGTGAAAGTCTTGTCTTTACACCCCAAGGTTAGTTAGGCCTAATTATTTCATCATACTATATCTAATGTGCTACCGTACATTTAAGTTTATTATTTACATGTAAACCACTTTTTCATAGCAATGGTGAAGATGTCGATTTGCAGCTGAAGAGCGCAATAGAAGGAGCTGTGATCAAGTGGGTGACCCAAATAACTCAAGTTTTGCGAGAAACTCCTGCCGATGCGCTCAAATCCAGCGAGAATCCGCTTCCATTTACTGGTAGGTTGATGAAAATAGCACAGATTATTTACCAACTATATTCCAGTAGAACTAGAAATGTGAGATTGTTTAACATGTTGACTGCTAATGCCGACTTTTGTCGGCGTCGCTAGCACTTCAATGTGGCGCGCGCCGACAAAAGTCGGCACCAGACCAACAGAAATATATTGAGTCAGTGTGAGCTTAGCCTCAGACGGAGACGTTATAATTGTTGCCAGACTGCCAGCTTAGAATACAAGCTTTACTTTGGTGTAGGTTGGTACTAAAATTTCCCGTAAAATCCTGTCTGGCAATGCTTTTGTCCCGGTTTCGGGGATTTTTTCTCTTCAACCCACATTACAAAGACACTGGATACGGATCCGTGCAGTGCTGCTACCTTTGGGTGTTTCAGTGAACTACATCCACTCTCGGGGTAACACAGCACAGTCACCACTGCTCTTTTGTGATTCGTCAGACTGAAATATTTGAATGCCAATTGCGTTCGCTGATTCGGTTGCGTGGCGGGGCTTTGCCCGCCACTGGGGAGCGCCTGCACGTTGTTTTCAGCAGTCAACGTGTTAAAGGAAAGCTCTGAACAAATGAAAATTAGAAAATTATCAATACCTAATTTGTCACTTGAAACAATTCTAAGTAGATAAAAATACTGAAATTACTAGAATATTCTAAAAAAACTAGTTTAAAAGGAGGTAGAAAAGGGTTTTCTTATCTTGGCATCAAACTCTATAGGCCTAAATGTATTTTCTGGCACATTAAGTGAGAATCATGTTTCTCTAGAATTGTATTTCAAAAGACTAAGATTCTGATAACTGCACTTTGTACGTTATTGTTGAATTTGTAGTGTCTCTGTTCTTATGACTTGAGTAAACCATTGACTATTGGATACTGAAGCTGTTTCAGTAGTTACAGGCGGCATTTTTATTTATTTACAATATCAATTGGTAATCTTTTTCAGAAATTGACTTTTGGCGGTCTCGGGTTGCCAATTTGGAATGCATTTACGATCAGCTGATTGACCCAAGGGTGAAAAAGATGGCTTCAATTCTAGAGATTACAGACAGCGCTTATTTTCCTAGCTTCAGGGACATATTTCGCAATGTTGTTTCAAGTAGGTGGTTTTGAAAATTGACGTTAATCTCTTTCAAGAACACTGTTAAAACTCTAGCATTTTTGATGCTGACATAGTTTTTGAACAATTCTCCTGGTTTTTATGTTGTTGTGCTTTTTAAAAAGATAAGTAAATAAAAATCAACAATGGGCTCATGTATATGAATGACATTAAAGGTAATTTACGCTCATCGCCATTGATTTACCAGCACCAGTGTTGTGGGTGTATTGACAAGCCTTACATCCCTCGAAATAAATCCCCTCATATTCCACTTGTTGTACAAGTTTTCCCTGCAAGTTCTCTTTATGATCTTTTCCTAATTTGTTCCTACTTTTCCAACTCTATACTTTTCACCACCTGGTAAACAAAATTTCTATTACCGGTACTAAAAACTAATGTTTTTTGAGTTATTTGATTGATAATTTTTTTCTAGACTGGTACTTTTAACTTTTCTCAATTTCTTAATTTTTTCAGGTCTGAAAGAAGCGAAGGAAATAAACAAGTATTTAAAACCTCTAGAGAAATATCTGGCAAAGCTAGAAGCTTGTGATTTCAAAGAAGTGATAAAATATCTGGCTCCACTTCTGCACATTGTATGCTTGATCTGGGCCAACTGTAAATACTATTGTAGTTCCGCAAAGATCATAAACTTACTTCAGCTGGTTGCCAACTTGATTATTGATTTGGTAAGTAGGCCTAAAAAAACAATTTAAATAATTTTCTGGGTGATAAAAACATAATTGTTTGGTGCCTAGTTGAGTTAAATATTTGTGAAAGAAATCTTCAGTCCAATCAATTTTTTTCAGGCAAATAGAAATATGGATCCGAGTTCACTGTTTCAAGGAGAGGTCCCAGAAAATATGGTGAAGGTTCAAGAGGTTATTGTTATGGTGGAGGAATTCAAGTATGTATACTTACTATTTCTATAATTTTTATAATAAAAATCAGAATTATCAATTGAGATGGGGATGCCACCTAGGTGCGTACCGTTCCGTACCGTATTTAAACCCAAATGTAGGTGAAAGATGAGTGTACAATGTTTTTAGATGATCTCTGCTTTGTTACTGACTAATTATTACCAGAGGTTAAAATACAATAATCCACAATGTGATCAACATCACCGAGCAGTAAAAGAAACACAAATAACGCTATAATGATTAATGAACAGCAAATTTTACTTTAAAACCAGTGAATTTTTAGCTATCTCAATCATGCTGGTATTTATTTCTACTCGCCAAAATCGACTGATCTGATATGTTGAACAAAGAAATCTTTTCAGGGGGCTGTTTGAGAAAAGCAGAGAAAAAGTGGTGACTTTGTTTCCCGAAGGTGTCGAACCAGTTCCTTGGCTTTTCAATTCAAGAATAGTCTTCAAGAGGCTTAACGCGTATTTACAAAGGCTTAAAGTTATCAGTGTAAGTATAATTAACTTAAATTACGGCACAGTAGACACTTGATCATTTTAAATCGGAGGGCAAATCAATTAAATTTGAATCATCAAGTGGTTAGTTTTTTTTTTGGAAGAAATAGAAACCATTTGAATTATAAAGAGGTTATTATCACAATACGTAAGGTAGGATAGAAAGTTACAATGACATAATTTTAGTTTTAAAATCTGTTATTTCCGTTTAATTCTTGCTCTTCAATCTCCTATAGTCATGACATTATTAAAGACATAAAGTTTGTCAAAACCCTTTTTTCTGTTTGAAGGAATTTATAATGTTTTGAGTTTTCGCTTCTAACTCAACTCTACCAGTTTTTTTACTGCTGTGACCACTTATTTTTTCTGCAGAAAAAAATTAATATACTGCTCCAAACAAACACCAAAGTTACTGTGCCTAACAAGATGCATAGTTTCTTGTGATGACAGGAATAAGTCTGTGGAGTGTTTGTGAATAAAAATGAAATATTAAGAGAGAAATAAAATAAGTCATGTTTTCAAGAAGAACAGAAATCAATAAATATTTATTTATACAGTTTGAATCATTTTTTAAACATCAGCTGTTCTAAACAAAGGCTTAAGAAAATTATTAGGTGATAGAACTTAACAAAGTCTATAAAATTACCTCCGTTCCTTTGAACTAAAGAGTTCTGCTGACGAAACTTCAAATTACTGTGTGTTCTGGCCTGCCCTTTGATTAAACTTTTTCTCTCTTTTTTTTCTACGCCAGTGGCATTTTAACTTAAGTCAACGTGAAATTAAAAGCTTTTAAGGGAAGGTGGTCCAAGTTTTGTGTATGTGCCGGGAGTTGACCCAGTCTCTCCGGCACTGATGACCAAGACGCTAACCACTAGACTATCACCACACCCAGTACTCAGTTTTTTTTTATTTTTTTTTATTTTTTTTATACTGTGTACTGTATCTAAAAATTCATGGTAAGAAGTTATTTAACAATAAAACCTAGTCTTTTGAAAAACTTACAAAGTATTCAAACTTAAATAATTTTTCAGGAGTTTTTCGAAATAGCGCTGGAGTATTCTAAACTGGAGAAAGTAGAGATCGGAGGTTTGAACGGAAAACACATCAGTACGAAGGTGTTTGCCGTTTTTGACGAGTTCAACATGGCGTTCAACGTATTCAGAAGCGTTTCGTACAACCCGGCTGAACCGGAGGACACTGCGTTCCTCTCCGACTACAAAGTGTTCAAAGAGAAAGTGCTGGATCTGGACAGAAGGATGGCGGCGCTCTCTAGTCAAGCTTTCAACGAGTGTCACAATTTTGAATCCATCTTTAAGGTAATTTATACCTATTCATATAGGACTAAGTTATAGAAGGGAATATAAGATTAGAGTTAATGAAGAACAAATAAAATGTTAAATCTTTGCTATTTGATTGCTTTATGGAAAGTCTATTCAGAGATTGCTGGTTCCTAACCATCTGCACTGTTCTAGTCACTGCTGTCCTGTGAGACATCATTGTGATTCTGTCTACAATTTATATTTATTTGATTCACAACAATAAGTTTTGATATATATTTTCAGTCATTCCAAGCTGAAACTGTATAGTAAATATTTATATACCGATACAGTATTTTCTTCCTTCTAATTGACACAAACAGCCGTAAAGATATCAGCGTGTTTTCACTCTGACAGTAAAAAGTGTGTGACTTTTGATTTGTCAGAATAGCTGAATTTTACTCTGTTAGTTAATGTTGATCAAAAGTTGAGCTCGTTTGGCGAGTTGATCATACTAACAATTTATTACCTAAAAAAAGAGCCTAATCCAACTTTTTACACGTAGAGCTGCCATACGAAGTTATTTACGTGTGTTTGAATTGCAGATGATAAATGTGTGGGACACGATGCTCAAACGTCCGATCATCCAGACAGAAATCACACCCAAGTACAGTGTCATCATAGACATGCTTAATGATGAACTGGACATCATCAAGGTACTGTGTAGCTCCTCGATAACAAGTGTAATTCTCTGATAGTCAAATATGTATGTTAAACTAAAATGTTGGCTCCTACAGTCAAAGTATGTATGCTGTTGAATTATTGTAGCTTACGTTTGAGATGGATTCCTGCAATGTATCCAGAACTTTAGCCTGTATTATGGTTAGTTCAACACAGCGCAGTCTTTTCCCGAAGACCACAGTTATGTTGTAACCTTGGAAAAAAAAATTACTTTAATCACATATTTGCAATGATTGCAAACCTTGCCAAGGCTTTCCAGCGCTTTCAAAACTATTGGTGAACCCTCTATGGGTGAGATTCATTTTTAAATGCATGAAATCAAAAATCATAGACTAATAACGTAAACATTATAGATCAATAATTAATTGTTGTTGTTGTAATAGTTAATTGTTAATTGTTGTTGTTGTTGTTGTTGTTGTGTTGTAATTAATTGTATTGAATTGTAGTAATGAGATCAATACTAAATCTAAGGTTAATGAGATCAATACAAAATCAAACTCCTTTGAGACTATTAAAAAGTAGTCAGATAATATCAGTAGAAAAGCAAAAGAGAAGACACACAATATTTTACTCAGGATCTTTAGCGGTATAAGAGCTAGGTTTTACACTTCTGTGCTGTGTCACTCTTTACATTCAGACGAAACATAAGGGGTAGTGAAAAAAATGTGAGGTACGGTGACTTCTACAACTTCCAACCTGCAAAAAAAAACACAAATTTTGTTTTAGTAATATTTGTGCATCCGGAGGAAATCCCCAAGAAGACGCTGGAAATATTTTAATATGTGAATGAGTGAATGAATTATCTCTTTATTTGGGCAAAAGACATAATTCAACAATGTCAAATTATATCTTTGCCCAAATAAAGAGATATTCATTCATAGTGTAGCTCGTAAGTTTTTACAAGTTCCCAAGTTTGTTTGCAGACACTGTACAACGATCAGTTGAAGTACTACGAGGAGACGGGGTTCATGGAGGTGGATAGAAACTGGCCGCCAGTAGCCGGGGGACTGGTGTGGATATTGAAGATGGCCAACAGAGTGTCCGGGCCAGTGGAGAGCTTTAAACAGTTTGAGAACTCGTAAGTAGCACATTGTGGTTTAAATAGGATTAATCTTATTTTAGTTTCAGTTTATGGAATTTTCCTACGCTAAGTATTTGCCCACACTCCTCAAGTGTCTAGTTATTAATGTGACTACTAGTGTCTTAGGACTTCTTCAGGTTTAGGTATTCAGTCACACTGTAGAATGTGTGATGCGGAGGCCCGTTGATGGAGTGTTTTATTCAGCTGCTCATCACTGGTCCTCTTGACTTTGACAGGCAAGTAATTAAACAGCTTAGTTAAGTTGTATGTTTGTAGGATTGTAGCCAGCACCGAGGGAGAGTATGCACTGGTCAAGGCTGATGAGATGCTGGACTTGCTGGAGGACTTGCGAGCAGAGATCTTCACCGAGTGGTGTGGCAGTGTGTGTCAACTGAAGGATGTAATGTTGAGTTGTATGTTTGCAGGATTGTAGCCAGCACTGAGGGAGAGTATGCACTGGTCAAGGCTGATGAGATGCTGGACTTGCTGGAGGACTTGCGAGCAGAGATTTTCACCGAGTGGTGTGGCAGTTGTGACAACTAAGGATGTAATGTTGAGTTGTATGTTTGCAGGATTGTAGCCAGCACCGAGGGAGAGTATGCACTGGTCAAGGGTGATGAGATGCTGGACTTGCTGGAGGACTTGCGAGCAGAGATCTTCACCGAGTGGTGTGGCAGTTGTGACAACTAAGGATGTAATGTTGAGTTGTATGTTTGCAGGATTGTAGCCAGCACCGAGGGAGAGTATGCACTGGTCAAGGGTGATGAGATGCTGGACTTGCTGGAGGACTTGCGAGCAGAGATCTTCACCGAGTGGTGTGGCAGTGTGTGAGAACTGAAGGATGTAATGTTGAGTTGTATGTTTGCAGGATTGTAACCAGCACAGAGGGAGAGTATGCACTGGTCAAGGGTGATGAGATGCTGGACTTGCTGGAGGACTTGCGAGCAGAGATCTTCACCGAGTGGTGTGGCAGTGTGTGTCAACTAAGGATGTAATGTTGAGTTGTATGTTTGCAGGATTGTAACCAGCACAGAGGGAGAGTATGCACTGGTCAAGGGTGATGAGATGCTGGACTTGCTGGAGGACTTGCGAGCAGAGATCTTCACCGAGAGGTGTGGCAGTGTGTGTCAACTGAAGGATGTAATGTTGAGTTGTATGTTTGCAGGATTGTAACCAGCACAGAGGGAGAGTATGCACTGGTCAAGGCTGATGAGATGCTGGACTTGCTGGAGGACTTGCGAGCAGAGATCTTCACCGAGTGGTGTGGCAGTGTGTGAGAACTGAAGGATGTAATGTTGAGTTGTATGTTTGCAGGATTGTAACCAGCACAGAGGGAGAGTATGCACTGGTCAAGGGTGATGAGATGCTGGACTTGCTGGAGGACTTGCGAGCAGAGATCTTCACCGAGTGGTGTGGCAGTTGTGACAACTAAGGATGTAATGTTGAGTTGTATGTTTGCAGGATTGTAACCAGCACAGAGGGAGAGTATGCACTGGTCAAGGCTGATGAGATGCTGGACTTGCTGGAGGACTTGCGAGCAGAGATTTTCACCGAGTGGTGTGGCAGTGTGTGAGAACTGAAGGATGTAATGTTGAGTTGTATGTTTGCAGGATTGTAACCAGCACAGAGGGAGAGTATGCACTGGTCAAGGCTGATGAGATGCTGGACTTGCTGGAGGACTTGCGAGCAGAGATCTTCACCGAGTGGTGTGGCAGTGTGTGACAACTGAAGGATGTAATGTTGAGTTGTATGTTTGCAGGATTGTAGCCAGCACCGAGGGAGAGTATGCACTGGTCAAGGGTGATGAGATGCTGGACTTGCTGGAGGACTTGCGAGCAGAGATCTTCACCGAGTGGTGTGGCAGTGTGTGTCAACTGAAGGATGTAATGTTGAGTTGTATGTTTGCAGGATTGTAACCAGCACTGAGGGAGAGTATGCACTGGTCAAGGGGTATGAGATGCTGGACTTGCTGGAGGACTTGCGAGCAGAGATCTTCACCGAGTGGTGTGGCAGTTGTGACAACTAAGGATGTAATGTTGAGTTGTATGTTTGTAGGATTGTAACCAGCACAGAGGGAGAGTATGCACTGGTCAAGGGTGATGAGATGCTGGACTTGCTGGAGGACTTGCGAGCAGAGATCTTCACCGAGTGGTGTGGCAGTTGTGACAACTAAGGATGTAATGTTGAGTTGTATGTTTGCAGGATTGTAACCAGCACAGAGGGAGAGTATGCACTGGTCAAGGCTGATGAGATGCTGGACTTGCTGGAGGACTTGCGAGCAGAGATTTTCACCGAGTGGTGTGGCAGTGTGTGAGAACTGAAGGATGTAATGTTGAGTTGTATGTTTGCAGGATTGTAACCAGCACAGAGGGAGAGTATGCACTGGTCAAGGGTGATGAGATGCTGGACTTGCTGGAGGACTTGCGAGCAGAGATCTTCACCGAGTGGTGTGGCAGTGTGTGACAACTGAAGGATGTAATGTTGAGTTGTATGTTTGTAGGATTGTAGCCAGCACCGAGGGAGAGTATGCACTGGTCAAGGCTGATGAGATGCTGGACTTGCTGGAGGACTTGCGAGCAGAGATCTTCACCAAGTGGTGTGGCAGTGTGCCGGAAATATGCAACACGAGCCTGGCCAAGACTCTGCTCCTCGTGGATCCTGACAGCCGCTTGCTGCAACTCAATTTTGACAAGGAGGTACACACATTATTCTGTTGATAGTATCAACCTTGCTTTTTGAACCCAAAAATATTTGTGTGGTAAAAATATTGACATTACTTCAATATTTAAAAGTAACAAAGCATTGAAAGAAACAATTGAGCTTTTCACGCTACTATTTATTAGGAATAGTATAATGCAACAGACAACAATAAGCAGTTTTTAAATATTAATTCTTTCTGTACGTAGTGGGTTCCATCCTTTGGCCATGCTGTTAGGGGTTTCTTCTACTTGCTGGCTGGTTCTATTTCGTTCTGGTTCATTAAAGTTTTGTGGATGTGCCGGGGATTGAACCCGTCCCTCCCGCACCGAAGTCTGAGACACTAACCACTAGGCTAGCAACACACCCGAGTAAATGAATGATGAGGAAAATACGAGGCATGTTTTGTGTTGTGGAGATAAAACATACATTCTAGAACATTTTCTGATGCCAAGTCGGCTACTTAAGGTTTCCATTATGTTAAATGTATTAGGTAATATATCCTTCCTATCCTATAATGGTGCCGAATATAGTTAAAGAGAGTTCCTTTTAATTCTTTCCTTTTATCAAAACAAGTGGTGATAATGTGTTGCAGCTGGAAGCCGCACTGAGGGAAGTGCGCTTCATGAAGATGATTGGCGTGGAAGTAGTACCAGAGGAGGCGCAGGAACTGTTTGACCGTATGGAGCAGCTTTGGCAGTTCACTTACAACTTGGGCCTCGTCATCGGGTGGTGAGCTTGCATTAGATACACATACAGAGCTGTCGCATACTAATCCATATAGGCATAACCTAAAACTTGTATTGAATGCATTGCTGTCCAGGTGTTAAAATGTACAAATAATAAAAAGCCAGGGTCCAAAAACTTTGGAGGTGTTACTAGTGTCAAGCTTAAATAGTCGACTGTTCTATGGTTACCAATAGAATGGCTAGAAGCAAAGTCAGTGGAATTAGTGTTTCTATTGGCTTTCTTATGTTTGAACCAAATCAAAGACGAATGATATCAGATTATAATGTCTAAAACTACGTTTAGCTTGTTGAACATTGTTTGAAAGCTTGGAACTGCTTTTGAACATTACAATTCTTGGACAATACCCAGCAGTCAGAAGGGACTGTCTAGATTAAGGCCTAAGGGTCTCCATTAATCTCTTGTGGCAGCTGAATGATAGCTAATTCAAATCTGAGATCAATTCCGTGTTATTTACTTCATCCCCTATTGCAGTTGGTTCTCACCCTTATTTTACATATTGGATGTAAAGAATATTGTGCTTGTCTCAGAATTGAACTAGCTAGCTTGGCCGCTAGTTGCAGTTGGCTGCGTTTGACAGAAGATAGTTTAAACCTCAATTTACAGATAAGACTTACGCTCGTAATCAATACTTTAATACATAATATTATATCGATATCTTGATTTTGTCAAAGGTATAACAAAATGAGACAAGATAGCAAAGCAGAGGAGTTCAACTTGGTGGAAGACGAGGTTTTAGCAATAGACGACCTCATTGACGAGGCGCAAAGTATTCTGACATGGACCTCTCCCAGTGAGTTGACTATCACTTTTTCACAAATAACTTAATTTTTCTTAAGTTTTTTTGATGAGTCGAAAAATACTGGGTTGTATTCTTGTTTGAGTCAAATAATTATATCTAAGTGAGAGAGGAATTATTTAGCTTTGATAACTTAAGGATATATTTACTTCAGTGTAATAAAATGACTGAAAATTATTCAGACTTTGCTGCAACAGCTGATAAGACTGCTAAAAATTTATTAGCCTCTAATATAGCTAATGGTTAGAATTTTTGCCTCGTTTTTTAATAGTGACTTCAGGAATTTGAAGTTGTAGTGGTTATGGATCCTTTCAATATATTTTCCTTTTTTTACCAAACTTGAATGTGAAGTCACGAATAAGAAACAATGACAGGGTCAGTGACAAGACTTGATATTTAAAAATTTGTTTTGTTAGGTTACAGTTTTTTAATTTGAAAGTTTTGCTGTCAAATTTGAATGTGTTATGTTTAGATGCTTGGGATTACATTGAGCGAATCAGAGACAATGTTGAACAGTTGGCGAATCGGGTGTTGAAAGCGCAACAGAATCTAGCGAGAATCATAAGCCTTGTCAATGCTTGGAGCGACTCGCCACTCTTCAGTCGTCACAACATGAACAAAGACAATCTGCTGGCGTTGGATGAGGCTCCAGAGAGAGTTTCAAAAAGGTATGGTGGTAGTTTGAGTGATTTACCTATGAATTATCATTTTTAGCAGTAACACATGGTTCAATAATTCAATGTAATAAATTTACAGCCCAATAAGGATACACCTAAGAACCATTGGGAGAGACAGAAATTAGGCAGAATCCTTCATGTGGCTGGGCTGTCCAACCCTCGCCCAAAGAAGGTTGAAATCTCTAGGAAGGCCACAACAGCTGGAGGAGATTAAACGATAGGACGTCTCACAGTTGTTAGGCTTTTGGGCTAACTGAGAAGAGGTGTGGTACAAAAGATCAACAGGTCTAAGTAGCTAGTAGTATTACCTCAAACCCGAAACCTCCCCTCCCCTAACAAATTGTATTTGGAGTGTATGGTCTCAGCTTGTGCGTCCTAAGATTGTTTTTTTTTTGGACCCTCGCCTCAACATCGTTTAACCTTTCTCTTATCATTTACTTAAAAAAAAATTGGTGTCTAAAATACTGGTGTGTTTGTGTCATATCAATTTAATCAAAGACCTGATAAATAATGGTTTTCAGATATGCTGAAATATACCAGACGGGAATAGAGGTTAACAAACTGGTGACAGAGAACTTCCGATTGTTCTTTAACATCCCTCTAAGGGTTGCGCCGCAGAAGGCGCAGGAAGAGGAGGGTGTGGAGGACGAACTTTATGAGGATCTTCCCATGCCACCCAAGGTGGACGGGGAAGAAGAAGAAGAAAAGCCGGCACCATCTGGAGAAGAAGAAAAGCTGGCACCCACTGGAGAAGAAGAAAAGCCGGCACCCACTGGAGAAGAAGAAAAGCCCTCACCCACTGGAGAAGAAGAAACCACTGCTGTGGAACATGTTACAGCTGAAAAACCGAAAGATGAAGGTATAAATTAAAAATTGTATTCAATAACTACGGTCAATAAGAAAATATTTACTATCCATATCCAACAAATTGTAGTTAAGGAAGGGTAAGTTGTAAGAATACAAACAAGCGTTTGGACGGTTCCCTCACAAAAAAACAAAAATTTGAATGGCCCTTAAAACATGATTTTTAATTTAGATCTTTCATCAGGTGCCTAACATTCAGATCATTATAATTTTCATTCACTGTTGATAATTGCATTTTGAACTATTTAACAAACCTAAGGTTTAAATTTTACACTCCTTTTTTTCTTTGAATCACAATCGGCTTGAAAATTCAAGCCAAAGTAATTGCATCATAAAAGAAATATAAAAAAAAACAATTCTTAGTCAAAAACACCGAGTTATAAATTATCCCAATCTCACTCTTTTTACATTACCAAAATGTTGTGGTTCAATTGTGATGCAATTAATTGTTAGAAAATTACAAGTTTTCTTAAAGCTTTCAAGATTTTCTGCACCATTTTCTATTACTTTACATTAAAGATAAGGAGACATTATGAAGTTTGCTGCAGTGTTATTTTACATAAATGTTAATAGGTTTGTCTTATTGCAGAAGAAACGCCCGTGGACGCTGAGACTGGTGAAACCCCTACTGTGCCAGCTGGTGATGTTGAGGAGGGGATGACACCTGCTGTGGAGGGGGAGGTAGAGGGAGAAGTGAAAACCGAGGTTGCCGAGGAGGGGGTACCTATCGGGTCACCTAAGCCTTCCGTCAAGTCTAAACCATCCAAAGAAGTCAAAGAAGAGACACTGCAGACTAAAACATCGAAAGTCTCCCAACCTCCAGACAAAGTGTCCGAAAAGAAATCTGAGGAAGTAAAAGAAGTTAAAATTGTAGAGAATACCAAAGGGTCCCAGGTGAGGAAGGGCTCGGTATCGCCTAGGAAGAAAGGGAAAGATAAAGGAAAGAAGAAGAAGAAAGAGTCTGTGGCTCCTCCTCAAGTGGAAATACCTGTAGTCCTTACTATGTCTGTGAGTATATGTTGTGTTTGAGACATACACTCTCTATTGTATTTTTCCAGATGTTAGCCTCTGGATTATCAATATATACAATAAGTGGTTTAACCAACTGAATTATCGGTTATCCAATTGGTCGCTGTAGCAATTAGTTTCGGCTTACTGTGGAGCCATAATCAGGCATTACAAGGACAGGATCGCCTCTGACGAAGGTCAACATATTTCAAACACAAAAAAGACACAACACTCATGACTAAAGATAGTAATGTGTCGGTTCCAAAACACGGTTGTCGGTTCCGATGGTTCTTGGGGAATAACCAGGACCAAGAAATGTTGGAAAATGTTAGAGATTTTTAAGACTAGACCGGCGGCAGTTTATGTCTAGTCCTCTTTGATACTGGATACCCGCCGGTCGCGTCTTAATATCTAAAGTCATGAGATTTGTCTTTATGTGTGAAATATGACAACGTTTGAAAGAAGTGTGAGTAAAAGAAGTCCATGTAACGCCTGATGATGGCGCTGTAGTGAGCCGAAACTAGTTGCCACAGCAACCAATTTGATTACTGATACAAGTATTTAAACTACTCTACTATTATTATTATTATTATTATTGCTATTATTATGATTATTAGTATCTCTATTGCTGTAGATTTTCGTGCCAAAACTATATACCCTAATAAGTAAGGTTACTCTATTTTATCTCTCAGTAATGACTTTTTGACTCACAGGAAGAGATGATCCAAACAGTTGTTGATGACAAGGAGAAGTTGGCGAAGTGGAACGCGTATTTGGACATGGTCGATGACGAGGTTCTTAATGGGCTGTCAAAGGCTGTGGATTGTAGGTAAGAACTCATTAAGCTAATCCTTTCACCTGTACAACCAATTTTTTGTGTTCTAAATTGTCGTCTGATGCGAGTTAACTGACTCCAGTAAAGTTAGTCGGTATTTCAGTACTAGGAATATCATACAAACACTAGAGAGTCGGAATTTGTATGCCTAGATGTAAGAATAGCCAGTCCATAATGTTATTAACTGAAGATCCACTCATCTTTCAGCCTTTACCTTATGTTTACTTAGGTAAAATCTCAAAGGGAAACCATATGGCTAAGGCATTTTTTGTAACCGAGTTCAGCTAGCTTACCTGAGAAAGTAGAGTCTAAAACAACAGTAAAAAGTCGCAACAAATAACACTGGTATTTCATTCTAATGTACTTCTAATGCGTTGAAGAGCACAGTAAGATTTCTACTTTTAAGTCAGTCAGTTTGTTTTATCAGACATTACTTTTGTCAGTTTGATGATGTCACACCATATACTGTCTGAATTAAACAATAGCATTATGACTTTTTTTCACCAAATGCTTTGTATTTCAGCCTGGGACTGTTTGTGGACGAGATGAGTCTGGTGTCAGACAAAGCTCCGTTGTTTGAAGTCCTCCTGGAGTTACAACACAGGGACATTGTGTTCGTCCCTTCGCTGGACTTTGAAGCGGACGACGCTCACTCCTTCTACAGCATAGTCCAGGGCTTGCTGGAGGACATTGTGCACATGGCCATCAAGATACCACGAGTATCTTACAACCGGCTGGAAAACACGTACATGGTATAGTACCAGTTTGTTTAAGTAACTTAAAATTTCAGTTAGTAGCTTTTTGACAGTTTGAAACTGAACCAGATGTCCTTGATGGGTAAAAGGTCATGGTTGAAGAATTTGTTGATTTCAGTCAGAGTCGATGAAGGTGCTATTTAATTTACGTACATCACTCATGCTTCATTCTTTGTGTAATCAAGGTTACTCAACTTTTATAGCTCGACAGATTGAACATTAGTAGTCATAAACTATGTGCATTTCAAAGTGCATAGCTTTATCATCAGGCTAGGATAAAAAAATGTCTTCACTCAGAAATTTTACAGTAATGTTCAATAACACACCACTAAATGCATACAAATATTGGACATTTAGATCATGTGTTAGACGTAAACCAGGAAATCAATGACTTTTGAAAATCACGATTGTAATTTATGTTCCAGGACAACATAATTGAATCGGAAGATGTAGCTTCAATGAAAACGAAAACGATGGAAAAAGTTAAAATCGCTTCAATAAAGGTAAGTTTTGGAACATTGCACTTGCACACTTGTAACTAATGCAACTCTTAAAATCATACACATGTTTAACTGATATGTATTAAATATATTTCATACAGAATTATTGGAATTTATGTAAATTGTTATGTTTACAACTTAAGCATTTTATTAACATCTATCGTATTTGAAATTGAGATTGCTGAAATGTTAACAGTAGATTAACTGTTTTAACATTCTTTTTTCTTCAACCCAGTATTGTTATAAGAGTATTCACAAGTGGTCTGTGATTGTTTTTGTAGGCGATAGAATACTCGTCGATGTTTGAAGAGTACAACTACCTCTGGCTGGACGACCGTCAGTTGTACTTGGAACAGTTCTTGAAGTACGGCCACAATTTGTCGTCCGAGGAGGAACTTATGGAGGGAAAATACAACGAAGAAGGGGTTGCATTGTTGAAAGAGAGCCCGCCAAAACTGGTCCAGTTTAAACAGCAGGTTAGCGGAATAAATGTTGGGTATTGATGTTTTTAAATCTTATCAAAGCTTACATAGACATTACTTTTTTAAGAAACGTCTTTTTTAATTTCACGTTTTTTATATTTGTGTTTTGGCCAATTAATGTTTAGTGTTTCGTGTACGTGTAAGTGTTGTTTGTGAACTTTTAACCTCACGACCATTCCATGGAATAAATCAATGTAACATTGACCTGAAGATGTGTTTGTGAACACGAAACAGTTGTAGTCAACCAACTATAATCTAGGATCACTTGACAAATACAGGTACTTTAAACCTTTTTTTGTAAAAATCAGAGATCCAGAGGCTATACCATAAAAATGAAAATAGACACTCCTTTTGTTTACAAACTACTGGAAAATCGTCTATCAGGGATTTGTAGAGAAGGGTAAGAATTGACTTTTCACACTCTTGTAATTTTCAACTTTAAGCTTTTTTACCTAAATTGTACTATAAAGTATTCCCATTCCAAAAAAAATATTTATAAACACAGTTGTAGCAATTATTTTATAAGCTAAACATAAGTCATAAGTATTTTATTGCATAAAAACATTCTTCATTACAAAGGCAATGGTGAACAGATGCATGGTCAATCAATAAGTTATAAAAACTAAAAGTAATAAGTTACAACAAAATACAACAAGAACAGCACAATTGAGAGAAAGTTACCAATTCAGACAAGTTAGAAAAAAGACAAATTTAAATAAAGATCTTGAAGCAATATCAGAGAAAAAACAATTAAAAACATTCTGTGTCATATTTTACATAAACTAATGGTCAATTAATGTCACGGTCATGATTTAGTCCAAATTTTAAATTTTTGTGGTGTATAGGATTTTATTTTTGAGGGGATCTTATTATATAGACAAATCCCCATATAGATGGGTTTTTTTTTTTTCAAAATGAGAGTGTTTATGAATTGGATAATTTAGCAGATTTGGGTTTCGAGTATTATAACTATGAGTGGGTCTAAATTCATCAAAAAGTGTATTATTTAAATGAACAAAATTTACTGTTTCATAGATGTACAAAGAAGTCAATGGCATTATTTTTAATTCCTTAAAAGAACGACGACAGCTTGATCCATATTCTGCCCCTATCATCACTCTAATAATACTTTTTAAAAACATCATAATATAAATTAATTTTTCTGAAGTAAAAGCGAATCATTATCACAAGACTTTTTGATGTTTGGCAGAGGGAGTCCTCAGATATGGAGATTACCTAACATAGAGTTGTTGTATTGGCGTCTTAGGTTAAAATCACACTTATCACCAATTTGATAAAGCCGTCACCAGATAGCTTGAGGCCTACATTCATCAAGAAAAAGTAGATACGTCTTCAGACGATGACAACTCCTATCACAAAAAGCTATGCAATTATTTATTTTTTCTGAAGTTTATAATAAAATCATTGTTGAATGCACTTAATCTGTTTACACTTTGCAGATTGATGAATACGAAGACCTCTACAAAGAACTGTCGAAGATTGATAACCAAAGGATATTTGACACTTGGTTGAGAGTAGACGTCAAACCGTTTAAGCAAGCTCTGCTCAACACAGTGTGTAAATGGGGCAACATGTTTAAACAACATCTAGTGGATCATGTGATCAACAGGTCAGTACTATAGTACATTGACTTTGTTTATCTGAAGGTCCGACTGTCTTTCCCCTATCTGGCGGCTCTAAAATGTCCAGTGTTTGCCCTTTGTTATGAGAGTTTCCTTTTCCTTCTAGCCTGAAACACATCCTTAAGAGTCCTTGGAGGCTAGCGGCGACCATCTTGGATAATTTCAAACAGCTGCTGAAGAGTTACTTATTGTCCAAAAATATTTTTACATAACACACCAATGTGATTATAATTTAATTATCTAGTATACTGTGATATTAGAAATGTTCTTTGTCGTTTTTAATTGTTCTCCAAGGGAGTCCATGGAAGCTACAGCCATCTTGGATTTGCCCGCCATAAGAGCAACGTTAATTTTGGTAATTGAAATTTTAAAATAGTTGTTTAGCCTCCGGATTAATGTATTATACTTAAAATGGTTTACAATGCCAGCATATAGTAATCCTTTGTTGCTGATTTTGGCAACTAGTTTCGTGTTATCATGTTTTGTATATGTTTTATTTATTGAACTGTGTTTGTTAACAACCTTCGAATGAAGTGATTACCTGACACCTTGAGGCCTGATGATGGTTCAGAAGAACTGAAACTAGTTGCCAAAATCAGCAACAAAGCCTTACTATATGCAGGTATTGTAAACCATTTTTGGTAAGTAATTTCAAACAGCCGCTGATGAGTTATTTGCTGCCTTACAAAAATATTTTTTAAACACCAGAGTGATTGTAATTTGAATATAATTGTTTAATTTTTTGATGTGTTAGAACGTTAGAACGTCTAGGCTCGAAGGACGCTTAACGTAGCAACTTTTAAATAGTAGGCTACACTTGTGGTTACACAAGGTTACGCTTGTAGCCGCAAACCTGAGCCCATCCAGCCGTGCGCACGGTGTTATAATCATAGATTTATCGTTTTTTAAATGTTTCGTACGTGTCGTGTATGTGTAATGAATGTAAAATGTGTTTGGCCTATTTATTCGATATATCAACGTTGTTGCTACAAAATCAAAGCAACATAGAAACAGATTCAACCTAGTGATAGTGGAGCTGAGGATGACCTGATGGTTGAAACGCGTACTCCACAGCAATTCATGGATTGATGATGTAAGTTATTTAATTATTTGGTACCAATCATGATGTTCACAAAAAAAAATAAAATAAATAATTAAGTTGCGTCTGTCAAACTGAGGAATACAATTTATTTTGATCAGCCATTTAATAAACCATTGTAAATAATGTTACGAAAGATTTTTTCAAATTAAATCTTAGAGAATGCTTACTCTAAACTGAAAACTACGACAGCAACTAAATAAACTGTTCAAGCCTATTCAAAGTGTTTCTACCCCTACTACAATGTGTGTATGACCATGATGCTGTCTGTTAAGTCTGATAGAGCTGAGAGACTTTATCAAGGAGGCGGACGAGCAGCTGAGCAAACCGCTGGTGGAGGGAGACTACGAAGCTCTAGTGACCATCATGAGTTATCTGCGCAAAGTCAAAGATCGTCAGGTAGAAACCGACAACATGTTCGAACCTCTTCGAGACATCATTGAGATGGTCAAACAGTACGATATGGAGTTTCCAGAGGAAACCTATCTTCTTCTGCAGGTAAGCGATAGCTCAGAATATTTTTCTTTTCTCCTCAATATTGACTATCGCCATGGACCTACCAGTCTTTGCGGTGATCTAAACGGAAGTACCGTTATGATATAAGTCATACTGTATTAGCAAACAAATGGTGACCATAGCCATATGATAGCAGAGGCTGGTCTTGTTGAGAAATTGCTTTCTGTGTCTATAATTTCAAATTCCTAATAAACTCATATCGTAATTATTTACCTATTTTGCCTGAAGGTCTTGTAGTTAACACTCGATTAACACTCGATGCGCATTTCGCCGCTCAGTGCGGCATCTTCATAGAGTATCTTCCTAAACACTACTGTTACTATGTACATATTTACAATATATTTTCAGTCACTAACCGGTCACATTCGCGGTCGCGGTTGCCCGGCGGCGACACGAGCGGCAGGGTACATTTCGTTCCGCACTGTTGACGTGATGGACTTGTACTGGATCTCCATAGATCCATAGATCCAGTACAAGTCCATCACGTCAACAGTGCGGAACGAAATGTACCCCGCCGCTCGTGTCGCCGCCGGGCAACCGCGACCGCGAATGTGACCGGTTAGTGACTGAAAATATATTGTAAATATGTACATAGTAACAGTAGTGTTTAAGAAGATACTCTATGAAGATGCCGCACTGAGCGGCGAAATGCGCATCGAGTGTTAATCGAGTGTTAACTACAAGACCTTCAGGCAAAATAGGTAAATAATTACGGTATAATACAGGTCTTGTCACTGGGTTCAAAAAACATTAATAAACTCAGGTTTATAAAAAGTCCTTTGCCTTCCACAGATTTTTACTCTCAGAGACTAACATTTGACAGATGTGCGATTCTCAACATATTCTTGATGCATAATAAATGTTTGTTTTCTGACAAATATCTAACAGAAAATGTATCACTATTTCTTGAACTCTATAATATTTTACTACTTTGTCTGATTCACTATCCTTAATTGTAATTTATCCCTAATCCTCGAGAATTTACTAGTAAGACATCCCTGATTCTGAAAGAATCCCTCATTCTAGGCAAATACCAGCTTCTGGGTGAATAGAAGTACCTGATTCTTGACTGATCTTTAGAGATGTGTTCCTTGGCTCATTACGTCCTCATACTTGTCACAGGAGCTGCCAGGCCGATGGGTCAACACCAAGAAGCTGGCGGTTGGTATGAAAGCCGCAGCAATGCCACTGATGCAGGCGGAGGCCAAGACGATCCGCAGCAGACTAGCGCTGTTTGAGTTCCTGCAAAAACAGTACCAGGAGACGTTCAGGAGGAGCGCGTTCTTCAAGTAAGCATTTGTGTGATTGATTATTTGCTTGGGCCTTAACATTTCAACTGACATTCAAGTCTAGCCCACATATTGTGACTCAATTTGCAGACAATAGAGAATTCATTCATGGGTGATTTTAGTCAATAATAAAGTCAAAGGCAATTCACTAATGCTCCATTCAGCCTAAATTCTTTTTAAACTAAAGAATATATACAACCTGGCAAATGTGTTGATGTTTTACAAAATTCTAGCGAAAATGAGTGTGTACTTAACTGTGTAGTGATTAGAAAAAAAGAGTCATAAATTTGACAATTGCATCTATTGTATACTAGCTGGCCCGACGGACGTCGTCCTGTCCTAATGTGGTTTTATGTCAAATGCTTGTTCATTTTTATGATGAACTCGTTCGCATCGCTCAATCACGTCCTGGTTGAAGCTCGTTTACTACACTTACTGACCTTTAGGTTGGAGCTCGTTCGCTGCGCTCACTTGCCTTCAAGTTTAGCTCGTTTGCTATGCTAACTCGCCACCAGGTTGAAATTCGTTCGCTACGCTCACTCACCTTTTGTTTGCAAATTAGCTGCTGTCATAAATATAAAAAAATAGTGCTGCACCCTGTTGGTAAACCTATTAGATTTTTAATGCTATTTAACATCACAGAATCAAATTGTTTAGTTGAACCAGCTGTTAAGATTCTTGAATTCCATTTAAATATCAGTACTCATAAGGTTAACATGGGAAACTCCAGAGCCACTGGGGTGGAGCCCGTTTGACGAATCTGCACCAAACTGCACACAAACCATCCTTAAATAATGATTAATAATGCCTGAAAGTTTCATTACAATCTGTTTAGCGGTTTCGGAGTCCATAACGTTCAAATATATATATATATATATATATATATATATACATACATACAAACTTCCTCTTTTATAAATATAGATCAAAATTAACTTCATTTATTTTTTATGTCTGGAACTGACAGCCCATATAATAGCTTAGATTGAAAATGTACAACTGGAACTGACTACCATTAGCCCAGTCACTTTAGGTAAGAACCTAGACATGAAAGATGTAAAGCTGATTTTTTGCATGGTGATAGTATATAATAGGAAAGGTGTTTTCTGAAAGTTCCCTGAATTTCCCCCCCTTGCTTCCCCTTAAAACCCCCCCCTCCCCCGAAACACCAGGTTGAAAGTGTAGTGTTTAACTAAATCACCTATATCTTTTGATGTAAACGAGCTATCACCATAATTGTTTTTTCTTTGAACTCCCCGTTAAATTTACTTTAATAAAATAACCTTACACGTAGCATTATCTCTATTGGGTGGGATTTTATATGTGATACAAAATAAATATTATTTTATTTAAAACGTGAAGTTGTAGATTAAGCCAAAAGTCGGTTTTGCAGTAGGTAGTACGTCAATGTAACAACACTTATTACCTGTTTGATGAGCTTTCCAAAAATGTATAACAATATATATTTTAATTTAAATTGTTACCGAATGAAGCCATTTAAATCCATGCTTCAAACAGCCACAAAGCGCATTTAGCGTACCATTCCAACTTGTCCAGTAAATATCTATTCTATATACAGGGTTAGTAAAAAGTGTGGAGACCCCCTGTAAATTTTTTTAACGGCCCATACTAAAAAAACTAAACTCGGCACACCTTTATGGCATGTTATGAAGTACTATTTGGGAATAACCGCCACTTGATGATCATCCCCAAAATGGGGGATTTTGGGGGAAACTCTAAAATTTCAAATTTTAAGCCCCATTGAGTGACCCCTCATTTTGAAGGTCCTGGTAAAAGAAAGCCAACAACGCAAATTAGAGGTATCTACCTCAATCCAGTAAAAAATGGCAGCCAATTGAAATTTTCAGAAGTTAAATTTAACTTACAGCTTTTCAAGTCTGGAGACCCCCTGTAAATTTTGTAACGGCTCACACTAGGAAAACTAAACTCTACACACCTTTTTGGCATGTTATGAAGTACTTTTGAAGCCTAATAGCCACTTGGTTACCAAACCCAAAATGGGGGATTTTTGGGGGAAACTCAAAAACATTAAATGATAAGCCCCATCGAGTGACCCCTCATTTTGAAGATCATAATAAAAGAAAACTAGCAAACTAGAGGTCTCTATCTTAACACAGTAAAATATGGCAGCCAATTTAATATTAAATTGCAAGTTATTTCTGATTTCTAAAGATTTTAATCAGCTTCCATTTTTTACTGGATTGAGATAGAAAGCTCTAGTTTGCGTTGTTAGTTTTCTTTGACCAGGACCTTCAAAATGAGGGGCCACTCAATGGGGCTTAACATTTAAAATGTGGTTTTTAAAGGGTTGTTTGAGTTTCCCCCAAAATCCCCCATTTTGGGGATGTACACCAAGTGGTGGTTATGCCCAAAAAGTACTTCATAACATGCCATAAAGGTGTGCCCAGTTTATTTTTTCTAGTATGGGCCGTTAAAAAAATAACAGGGGGTCTCCACACTTTTTACTAACCCTGTATAATTCAGTTTTAAAAATATTTGTACAACTAAATCTAGAGTTCTACTGGACCGATTTTATAATTATTGTGTCGTTGGAAAGCTTAATTCATGTAAATTTGCAAATAATAATGAAAGTTTGTTTTTGTTATGATTTATGGTGAAAAAAAAAATGTTTTCCATAAGAAATACATTAAAAACTGTGTTTTTCACACGTTTTATTTGGGTGCGACTTTTGGCTACTTATTTTGAGTATTTCCAAAAAGTGCATGGTACCAATTTGTAGGAAATGTTATTCTCTTTCAGAATATCACCTTCCACTCTGGTGGATTTCCTCACCATTTAAAAGTTATTTGCTAAAAGGCTAAGCAACCTCTGAATTTATAGTAATGATAAAATACTGAGTAAGGGATATTTTCGTTAAACTTTGTACAACTAAATCTAGACTTCTACTAGACCGATTTTGTTAATTAATGGGTCATTGGAAAGCCTAATTCATTTAGATTTGCAAATAATTATGAAAGTGTGATTTTATCAAATATTTGTGGTGAATGTTTCTTTTTTTAAGTATCTGTTTTCAAGTTTCTATTTGTAGCCAGCTTTTGCCTGCCTTTATTAAGAATTTTCAAAAAATGCATGGTAGTTATTTGTAGTAAATTGTATTCTCTTTCAGAATATCACATCCACTTTGGTAGATTTTCCCTTCATTTAAAAGTTATTGGTAATAAGCTAAGTGATCTACAAATTTTAAGTGGTGAGAAAATACTAAATAGTTTTTTTTTTTTTTTTTACTTTGTACAACTAAATTGATTGTATAAATGATTGTATAAAGCATTGATTGTATAAATTCACTCCCACCCTTCATTGACGAAGGAACTGACGATGATGAGGGAAAAGAAAGTTGATATGTATTGTATTGTTTATGCCTTACTTAAGTGTTTTTTAACTGTAGGCTAATTAAACCTGTTGAGCATATATTTGCCTTTTCTTATAACTACCGATTACTTAATTTTTAATCCTTGTGAGTACTTATTTTCTTACTATTTTTGTAATTCAGTGTTCTTATTTTGCTTGTTAAACATTCACACAGGGTGTGTAAACAATAAATAAATAAAAAGTAATCATTTAGTAATATTTACTGAACAATTTGGAATGATGTGCTAAGTGAAGCATGGATTTAAATAGCTTCATTCGGTAACAACTTAAATTAAAATATATTGTTATACATTTTTGGAAAGCTCATAAAATAGGTAAAAAGTTTTGTTTCAAACACATTGACGTACGACCTACTGCAAAAACCAGGGTTTGACCTAATCTACAATTTTATGTAAAAAAAATAATATTTTTTGTTATATCACAGATATAAACCCACCCAATAGAGATAATGCTACATGTAAGGTTATTTTATTAAAGTAAATTTTACGGGGAGTTCAAAGAAAAAATAATTATGCTGATACAGTAGCTCGTTTACATCAAAAGATATAGGTGATTTAGTAAAACACTACACTTTCAACCTGGTGTTTTGGGGGAGGGGGGTTTTAAGGGGAAGCAAGGGGGGGAAATTCGGGGAACTTTCAGAAAACACCCTTCCTATCATACACTATCACCATGCAAAAAATCAGCTTTACATCTTTCATGTCTTTGTTGGCCTTGATTTTTAACTTAAGTTACATTGAAATAAGGGTTAAGGGTAAGGTATCGGCGAATGTTTAAGTACCCTATCATAAATATTTACGTTAAATATTTACGTTTTATTTGCAGGTGGGGTTGTGATGATGTGTATAGAGAAATTGACAAAGCCAACATAGATATAACCAAGCTGGAAGAATCCATAGACAAACTGGTCGAACAGGCTATACTTTTTGAAGTGATTGTGCCTGAGTTTAAAATAATCAAGACTGTCAGAAAGGAGCTTAAAATGGCTAAGGCACGTGAACATTTTTTGCATTAACATTATTTTAGTTATAATGACCAATAGTAAGGTTTAAATGTAATCTAGGTATATTCTCATATAAATTATCTTGCATAAATTAGTACCATTAACAAAATAAAAATATTTGTGTATTTTATATTCCAACTTATATTACTGTAATGAAAACTTCTATAACACATAATGATTTTCCATAGGTCCTTTGGGATTACATATTGATTGCCCTGGCTTGGATACGAGACTGGGAAGGCACTCCTTGGAAGAAAATTGACAGCGAAACGATGGATTTGGAACTGAAGAAGTTTGCAAAGGAAATCAGAAGTAAGACAATAACTTTTAATACGAATATTTAGCAAACTAGGAACACATTATTACTATTCTACACAAAATTAGACTCCAACTTAAATGAAAGTGTCACCATTTACTCCCACTAACTTGTCATTTGGACCTCTAACAGTGATTAAGTTATACTCACTAAGAGTGTAACTAAGAGTTCAAATAAGTTATAAAATGTTAATTCTACATAGCCAGGCTATTACGGCATAGCCCAGAAACCATTGGAGTTTCGTCGTTAACCAGTTTTTCCTCGCAGTAAAAGAAGCTGGATAGCAAAAGTGATTTGTTTCAGTGTTGGACAAAGAGATGAGAGTGTGGGATATTTACATACAGTTGGAGGCTGTCATTAAGAACATGATCACTGCGTTGAGGGCTGTGACGGAGCTGCAGAACCCGGCACTGCGCGACCGTCACTGGCGGCAACTCATGGAGGCGGCTAAGGTACGTTTACGTTCTTAACGTATAGATTGTGTCGGTTGGTTGATGAGAGTAAGGCTCCCAAAAATACCAGTTAACATTTTTTTTCGTCCAAAGGTGGTCTCTAAGCTGGGATAATTTTTGTATATTAATTCAAGTGGACCTAGGGGTTGCGGCATTATCACTTACATAAAAACCTTTGGTGATCTGGCGAGATTTGAACTCAGAACCTCAGGAATCAGTGTCGTGTGCTCCACCGAAGTCCCCATGAGTTACACATTAAACAATAGTGGTATTAAATTAATCCAACACAATTAATTGTTGAGATTACTGTGAGAAAAAACAAAAGCGACATGATGAGGGAAGGGCTCTTGTGTAAATGCGCATCCTGCTCACCACGCTAATTGATACAAACTATGTGATATGACCAAATTTGAGAAATTAATTCACTAAAAGGTTTTTTGGCAGGGTAGTGAAGGTTTTCTGCTAACTCTTTGAGGGTTTGAAACAAAAAATTGGATTTACACGGTGTTTTTCATGACTAGCTTAATGTTTAGCTATAACATTAATTTATAATGTTAGCTCCCTCTCGTTGTGTAATTTTGTTATGATACTTTGGAAACTGTCCAACTTTATTGCACTGAGGGTAGCCCATCCTCGAACACATTCCAAAGAGAGGGATGGAGAACTTATTCACCTTTACATGATGTCATGATACCATGCTGTTGACTGTTCAAAACATGATGATTTAGTTGAGGTTTCTGGTCGAGCAATTTGTACAAATATTTTTTTCTTAACAGTTTTCCGCTCTCTAAATCTGTTTGTGTTGCAGATGAAGTTTATGGTGGACGACAAGACGACGTTGGCCGACTTGCTGGCTCTCCAGCTGTACAAGATAGAGGACGAGGTGAAGACCATCGTAGACAAGTCTGTGAAGGAGTTGTCCATGGAGAAGACTCTGGCAGAGATGACTCACACCTGGGCCACCATGGAGTTTGAGTATGAAGTCCATCCGAGGACCAGCTGCAAGATACTGAAAGTCAGCGAGGAGTTGGTGGAAATACTCGAGGACAATCAGGTTGGTTTGGATGTTTGATTATAATTTAATTTTGTGTAGTTCGTATTGTCATAGATCATGTATAACCTCTTCTCTTCTACCTCATTTCAGTGTGTAAAAGGTCCTTTAACACGTTCGCTGCTCACCGCTAGATGCCGGGACGGCGCCAGGAGCTGAACTAACGCTCGCCGCTGCGTAAAAATTGCTGCCGATACACTGAATTACAGTAAAAACAACAGTAGTTATACTGGATGGCAATGTTCTGCAGTAAAACTGGCTTTGGACATAGTACTAAGTGATTCTGATAGATAGCAGCACTACCCAGGTTGCAGTCGGTAAAGTAGTGTCGCTATCTAGCAGGAAAGAGGTGGGACAAAGCCCTGTTCTAAACAACCCTGGTGGTGATTTTGGGAAACTATATTTTTTATTGTCAGAAAAGTACGTCCCCAAGAGCTGCAAAGAAATATAGTACGCTCGTGACGAGCTGGCCGATCCATGGTAACGTTAAACAACAATGAACGGCGACGTTCCGGAACGTTCCTAGCTCCTGGCGCCGTGGTCTGTTTGACATTCCGGAACGTCCAGCAGCGAACGTGTTAAACGCTAGATTTTAATGACAGAGTATTACATTTCTTACTTAGTTCTTTTTTGAGAAATTGCAAGATCTTACTTCAGCTACGTGGTTTAAATTTTTGGAGGGTTTCCTTAGAATAAATGCTGACATGCTTTTGTTGTAGGCCTACTATTTTAAAAGTCTGAGTTGAAGAAAATCAATTAATCAATTTCTTTATTGGGATTTCTTTAAGAAATACAATAGTGTCATATACATAGATTTTAATTTTAATTTTCAACTTGCTCAACAATTTTGACCATAGAATTCTTTTAGTGAGTAGAATGGTAGATCCATTAGCCAGTCTTTGAGTCCTTCCACTTCAGGTCTTAATTTCTTAAGATTTCCAAGTGGTTGGTCAGGCATTGAAGACCTTTCTTCCCATGCAGGTAGGCTTCCTGCTGTATTGAGATGTATAGTGAGCTGGGAGAAGGTGATCGACGAGTAGGTCGTTAATCCTAATTGAAAAGGTTTCAATTTAGTTTTAACCACATTATTTATATTTCATTTCCAAATGTGTTGTTACTATTAAGTGTTGTACCTCCTTTTCACCATGTTGTATGGTTTGCAAATTCTAGAAACTTAACAATAACAATTTAAATCACGACGTGTAATCATAATGCCTAACAATTAATATTCTAAATGCAGCAAACAGATAAAATTGTATTCGACATTTTCATTTCAGGTCCAACTGCAGAACATGATGAGCTCCAAGTTCATCGCTCATTTCCTAGAGGAGGTGTCGGACTGGCAACGGAAGTTGTCCAACGCAGACCAGGTGATCCACATCTGGCTGGAGGTCCAACGGACTTGGATGCATCTGGAGTCCATCTTCATAGGTTCCGAGGACATCCGCAAACAACTCCCGGAGGACTCTCGGAGATTTGACGCCGTCGATAAGGAGTTCAAGGTTGGAGTTTGAAAGTATCCTGTGGCTTTATTAAGTAAATTGTGAATTATAACAGTATTGCTAGAATCACGAGTTTAGGCTTTACTGAAAGTAGGGTAAAACTCAATTAATAGCCAACTAGTGTACCAATTGCATAAGTTTTAATAATCTTGTGCTCAATTAATTATTTTTCTACCCAGCAATTGAACCTAAAAATTGTCGCTTAATCACTTAAAACTTTTAACTATTCTAAGAATCCATAGAGATATTTTCTTTGTAGACAGATAGCAATATTTAAATTAAAACACCAACTCAATTGACTGTTCAGTATTTTAAACAAACTATTTCTATTTCTGAAAAGTAACTGTTTCAGGTTCTGTTGGACGACATGGCGAAAACTCCCAACGTTGTGAAAGGAACAAATAAACATAAATTGTTTGAAAAGCTGGAAGCTCTACAGGCAGAGCTAGTGAAGTGCGAGAAGGCTTTGGCAGAATATCTGGAGACAAAGAGGCTTGCGTATCCTCGCTTTTACTTTGTCTCCTCCGCAGATCTGCTGGACATATTGTCTAACGGAAACCAGCCTGAACTGGTGTGCAAGTAAGTTGATTGCTTGGTTAAACGTAAATTTATTTAAAAAGGAACTGTCCTTTTGCTGAATATAAATTTATTTTAGCTTATGTCAGTGGAGTGAGATTGCACTAAACGAAACAAATACTCCATGATCTTATATTAACTCTCTATCAATTGTAATCGTCCGTGAGTTTGCACATATGGAAACAAATATATCTCTCCATGAACGTAACCTAACTCTCTGTGAATTAGAATCGGCCATAAGCTTGGTACCCCATTTGAAAACAGCAAAGTCCAAATTCTTCACACTAACATTTGACAGTTTTATTTCATCATGTTGCTTACATTTATAGCGAAGTCAACTGATCAATCAGGTATCATATTTCTTATGTCTAAAAGTTGTCCTTGGTTACGCCTTTTGTCCAAGAAATTTGTACCACAGTTGCCTTTATTCTAGGCCCATGGTTTGCATACAATGCGTTATGGGCCTGAGAGACATTTGCTTCCCCCTCCGACATTACTTGCGGGGAATTTTTGTTCTACCTTGCTCCCCCAACGAACCTCTTGTTTACTAATTAATATTTAAGTTAATATTTACTCCAATTTTTTATATAATCTTTAAACATATCTTTATCTTTACACGTTCCCATAGCACATAGTACATTTTTATTTAATTTTAAACTTTTTCTTCAATTGCAAATTAGCTCAAAAAATATATATAATTTTTAACAACTCAAGTCTACGCACAGACCACTGTGGTCCATGTAGACTCATTTCCATTATCTATTACATTAGTTATTATTCAAGCCGGAGCAAGCATTCAACTAGTATTTAAGTTTTTACTATTATAACTTTATAAATTTAATTTTACTAGAATTAATTTACGTAAACAATTTACTGTATAATGCTTCAAGACTATATATATTTGTATTTTATTTTTTTGAAAAATTGTAAATTTTTTATATATTGTGGATAAAACTGATTTGATTTGATTTAATGAGGTCCTGCTTTGTTCTAGACACTTGCCCAAACTGTATGATTCAATCGCCAGACTGAAGTTCATCCAGGAAGGTGGCAAGACTACCAAGACAGCCAGAGGAATGTTCGCCAAAGATGGAGAATATGTTGAGTTTAGCGCTAACTGTGATTGTAGCGGTCAGGTGAGAATGTTAAGCTGTTTGTGATTACAATATTCTATAATGAGTATTCCAAAGATCAATTAAACCATGAATTTGCTTCGGTATTTTACATAACTAAGTTTTATGAAAATACTCTTGAATATGTTAATGTGCAAAATTTGTTCTTATGTACTGTATTATACAAAATGTTGTGATGTACATAAAAATGTCTGTCTGGGTGTTTTCTTTCAAGCATCATCATGTATATTCTTATACATTTTAATGATGATTTTATAGAGATTCTGTAACGTTATTTGGGTGTCCAAGGAATTAAGCGCTTCTCTATTCTTGATCCAAATTCTACACTGTCAACCATCAGAACAGACACTTTATATTTAAAAATTATAACTTACTGCATCAATTTAAAAAACTCACGACGAGAACAATGTTCTAACCCAAATACTTTGTGATGGTCCCAGGTGGAGAAGTGGTTGAACAACGTGACGGACGCAATGAGAGCCACGGGTCGGTCGTACTTCTCCGAAGCCGTGGTCACTTACGATGAGAAGCCGAGGGAGCAATGGCTGTTTGACTACCCGGCGCAGTGTGCGTTGTGCGGCACGCAGATCTGGTGGACCACCGAGGTCAACATGGCCTTTGCGAGACTTGAGGAGGGCTACGAGAACGCTCTCAAAGACTACCAGAAGAAACAGGTAATCTTTATTTGTTAGTTAATAAAGGATAACAATGGGTTTGTAGATAAAATTATGGGTACTCAACATAGTTGCATCAATTCCCAAGCTCCTGGGGTAGTTTCAGTCAGAGACACAAACAAGTGAAAATAAAAAAATAGAAATAGATTTGTAAAAAACTGTAACACAAAATGTATTACAAATAGGATAAATCAAAATAACCTAACTATATAATAAGGCAATAAGGGTGTGAGAACACTATGTTTAAATATTTGTTGTAATGTTCTCATAGATTATAAAGGTGTCTCATTAATAAAATTATGACACAAACAACAACATTAACAGAACACTAAGTAAACAATGTTTGGACTCTTTTCAAGGACCTAGGATAGCAGTAGTCAACAATAGCTATTTATGTATTAAGAGCGCAAAGTACGTCATTGCTGCTAGAGAGCTGAATGCGGCCATACATTACAATGACCGTTTGTGCTTGTAATTCACACACAATTTTCCCTACCACCATAATTAACTTCTCATGACACACAGATGAACTTTTCAGTTGTATATAAAATGTCATTTAGGTTATGTTTGCTTTTTTAGGTTAAAAGCTATTTACTTACTGGTTGTATGTACCTGATCCGCGGCTGTGGTTGGTGTAGAAACGCCAACATTGAAATCAGCTGATTAGCGAGTGGGAATGATCCATTCCCGGTCTAGAGCGTAAATGAGCTATTTTGCACACTACTTGCAGGTGTGACAATGTGATCATTTCCATGCAGTGGTAGGACAATATCAATAAATCCTAGGCATTTATTGTCACTCACTTGTCTTCAGATAAGTCAGCTGAACACTCTGATTGGTTTGCTCCTGGGAGACCTGACCAGTGGAGACAGACAGAAGATCATGACCATCTGCACCATAGACGTACACTCACGTGATGTGGTGGCCAAACTGATACAACTCAAGGTGGAGACTAGTGCAGCCTTCCAGTGGCAATCCCAGCTCAGACACAGGTAGGCCTAGTCCAACAATTGTAAGCTGTGGGGAAAACAACTCTGAGCTTCAGTGCCCGAGGTCTCGGGTTCAAATCGTGCCAATAAATTTTATCTAAGTGATAATGCCAAATTACTCTCTATGCCTACTCTGAAGTAATGTGAAAACAATTGTGGGCTAGAGCTTAGTGTCCTGGAATGCAAAGGTGGAACATGGCTTTTTGGTTTAGATATATGATGAGGCATTAAGATCAGGTAATGTTCAAGATTTTGCACAAAAGTCGGCGATTGGTCCTAGAATGAATTATATGAAACAACAAACGTACTAAGTAGTTTTGTATACACTTTTAATCTTTGCCATGCAGGTGGGATGTGAAGGTCAACGATTGTTTTGCCAACATCTGCGACGCCCAGTTCCGCTATGACTACGAGTACCTCGGCAACACTCCGCGTCTCGTCATCACGCCACTCACAGACAGATGCTACATTACACTCACACAGGTATATTTGCAAATTACATATTCCCAAATGAATGCTTTTTGATTTATTAATGATATTTCCATCGAAGGGGTTTTGAAAGTATTCTAATAAATCTTGTCGTAGTCCTTACATCTGATCATGGGTGGAGCACCAGCTGGGCCTGCAGGGACTGGAAAGACGGAGACTACCAAAGATCTCGGAAAGGCCATCGGCATCATGGTCTACGTGTTCAACTGTTCTGAACAGATGGACTACAAGGTAAGTACAAAATCTTGGTTATTATATGTTCTATATCAATCATATACAAGAATAGATTCAATTAGATTAGAGTTGGATGATTTCAATGCTCCAAGCTATGTGTTTGAAGGCAAAGAAGAGTGAAGGAGGATTATTGAAGGAATTAAGGAATCAAGAACAGTTAGGTCTTGTTCTTGTTTCTAATAATCAAAAAATCCTTTAATAAATGGAATTTCTTGTCAAATATCTTTTTTTCTGTGAACTCTGTTTAAAAAAATTACGGAAATATGATCAAAAGTGAAGTTACACTTCTTCTTGTTCACAGTCGTGTGGCAACATTTACAAGGGTCTAGCACAGACGGGAGCCTGGGGCTGTTTTGACGAGTTCAACCGCATCTCGGTAGAAGTGTTGTCTGTGGTCGCAGTGCAAGTCAAGTGTGTTCTGGACGCCATCAAAGCCAAGAAGACCAAGTTCAATTTCCTCGGAGAGCTGATTGCGCTCGTACCGACAGTCGGAATGTTTATCACCATGAATCCTGGATACGCCGGGCGGGCTGAGCTACCGGAGAATCTGAAAGCACTTTTCAGGTAAAAAGTTTTTGTCGTATGACAGCCTATCCATCATATGTCTTTAGATGTAGGTATTGAACCTATCTTTAGGTGGTTCAAGTAAAATGTTGAGTGGATATTAATTATTCTTTACTGTCAGCTGATCAGAATGGATCTGGTAAGATACAAACCAACCTAAATGAATGAAACCTTATTGAACTTATCCTAAACTTAGTCTAACCTGTTGTTAGTAGTCTTGTGATGTTGAGGATCTTGTGCCATAGTGATGCCAGATTTTGAGCTGATAAACTACACAGCTCCGATAAACTAGATTCTTCATCACTTCACGGTGAGTGAACGTAGCTTTGTTGCAGGCCATGTGCCATGGTCGTGCCAGACTTTGAGCTGATCTGCGAAATCATGCTGGTCGCTGAAGGGTTTCAAGAGGCTAGACTTTTGGCCAGAAAGTTCATCACTCTCTACTCACTGTGCAAGGAACTGCTTTCCAAACAGGACCATTACGACTGGGGTCTACGTGCCATCAAGTCTGTGCTTGTGGTTGCCGGATCGCTCAAGGTAATTATTTCAATTTTTCATTTTCTTGAAGCATACACTTTTTAATTTCCTAGAATTATGTGACCATAAACTAGCCGTATGTTATATTTTTTTAATAATTTTGTGAAGTTTTTGGTGTAATGCGCTAACTATTTCCTCTTTGTTTGCCCTTTTGCTTAAAATGTTTTTGAGTCTACAAGTCAAGTAGAGTAATTTGTTTGGCCCTGTGGCAAGAGCCTCGAAAATATTTATTGTCCTATGGTATAACGTATAGTTTCTTATTTAACAAATAACATGTTCCAGAGAGGAGACAGACTAAGGCCGGAAGACCAAGTCTTGATGAGAGCCTTGAGGGATTTCAACATCCCCAAGATCGTGACGGACGACATGACCATATTCATGGGGTTGATCGGAGACTTGTTCCCGGCCCTTGATGTGCCTCGGAAACGAGACTTGGACTTTGAAAAACAAGTGCGCCAAGCAGCCATCGATCTTAAACTGCAGCCTGAGGACAATTTTATTTTGAAGGTATGTCAGCTGTCTTGATTGTTTTTGATGAAAAAGCGACGAATCTATGTGAATTTCAAAATTTCCCTCTAATCATTACTTTTGGTCCAAAATAGTTTTGGAGTTGCTTCTGGTTTTGTTTTCAAGAGTTTCGGAATCTGTTTGGATTACAAATTAAATTGCTGGCATCATCCTTTAGTGATGGTGCTACCCAGTTGATTTAACTTAGAGCAAAAAGTAACAAAGTTTGTCTAGAACTGTGTAAAAGACGACAAAATTCATCAAAAATCACCTTAAATAATCATGCAAATTTCATATCTTCCTATTATAGCGTAGTTTATTTTTTATACTAACTAAATGCAATAGACTTAATTTTGAAACTCTCTTTTTTCATCTTGATTTTTCTCAGGTTGTCCAACTTCAAGAACTGTTTGCTGTGAGACATTCTGTGTTCATCATAGGCAACGCTGGTACTGGAAAATCTCAAGTGTGGAAAACACTTTACCGCACTTATTACAACCTGAAGCGGAAACCATTCTATAACGATCTTGAACCAAAGGCAGTCACCAACGATGAGTTGTTTGGCATAATCAATCCATCCACTCGAGAATGGAAGGATGGTAAGTTTGATGTAAATTATACTTTCAATCTCCTTATTAATATGTACTAGCTCATCTAAAAATATTCAGGGTTTTTTTAGTAAAAACATTGACAGGCCTAGTTATAATTTCAGCCAGCAAAAGTTGACCATTTTACTTGCCTTTTCTTCTAATCCTATTGTGCGTTTGTTTTTGAAGAGAATCTCACAGTTCATAGCAATTAATGTTGCCTCAGCTACGATTTAATGATTATAATGTTTGAAACATTGTTTTGTAGGCCTGTTCTCTGTGCTGATCCGAGAGCAGGCAAATATGGCTGGCGATGGACCGAAATGGATGGTTCTTGATGGTGACATTGACCCCATGTGGATAGAATCTCTGAACACTGTCATGGACGATAATAAGGTGGGAATTTCCAAAAGTTTTTGTTTTTTTTTTTCAAAAGGATTAGCAGACTGTTACCTTTAGTTTGCTTGCCCACACAAACGGGGTGAGTCATAAAAGTAGAAGAATGAACTTCATTGGTAAATTAAAAGTCTACCAACTGAGCTACTGGCTCACAAATGTAGAACAGGATAAAGGATAGACACATTTAAAAAACAAATCCCTCATTTTACTTTTTTGAGGAAATTTGAGGATCTTGATCTTGTACGACCCAAGCTAAGTTTTATGTCTACCAGAGACTTTTTCAAATTTGATCATACAATTTATTTTTTTAATCAGTACTAGTCAACTTGGGAACCAATTTCATAAGAGAGAAAAAACTTATTTCCGTTCCTGTATTACAATAAAAATCTGTTTGTGATCTTACAAAGGTGTTCTCGTCTCACTAGTGTTTGTTTGCAGGTGTTGACGTTGGCCAGCAACGAACGTATCGCTCTCACTCCGTCTATGCGACTCCTGTTTGAGATCTCCAACTTGCGAACGGCAACTCCCGCGACTGTCTCTCGCGCTGGCATCCTCTACATCAATCCCCAGGACTTAGGGTGGAACCCGTGAGTCCTTAATTGACTTTTACCCATGTTTAACTGATTGGGTCACTGATCCTTAAACTTTAGCCCCAAATAAAAATAGTGAATGAAATGAATTGATATATGAATTTTACCTGGAGATCAGTGGAACTGGTACACCTGTTGTTAATACTGTTGAGATTGTGTGAAATGTGGAAAGTGTGAGCTACTACTCCAAGACTCTTAAATACTAATGACAACAATTTGACAGTGCAAATAACTCAGCAGCTTTGAACATTATCTAAACTCATTTGTGGTATGTAACGGTTGGGTATTTTAATTCTATCATGTAGGTAGCCTTTCAATTTGACATATTTATGTGAGCATGGTAACAAATACTAAACATCTTGACTAAACAAAACCGATAAATTTTGATGCCTTAAAGCTATTTTACTCTTACACCTTTTACGGTATCGATTTTTTTCTGTTATGTTGGCACGAAACTGTTCATGAGGTGTGAACTGACTCTCAAACCACCTTTCCAGATACGTCACCAGCTGGATTGAGACGAGAGCGAACGACAACGAGAAGGCCACTTTGATCGTGTTGTTTGACAAGTACATTCCTCCGGTGTTGGAAGCGTCGAGGACCAAGTTCAAGAAGATCACGCCCATCCCGGAGATTGCTCATCTGCAGATGTTGTGTACACTGTTGGAGTCTCTACTGACTCCGGCCAACGTACCTCCGGACTGTCCCAAGGAGTGGTATGAGATCTACTTTGTCTTCGCTTGTGTCTGGGCGTTCGGCTCGTGCACCTTCCAGGACCAGGTGAGTTGTTGTAAAACATTTTCTAGGAAGGATATTAATTTTTTGTTTTCTTAAAATATTAGATGAGAAATTTATGTAATGATATCAAATTTTAAAACAGAAGGATAGTTAAAAATTCAATTTCTCATAAGAAAAAGCAGAAGGCTTCCTCCATTTCTATTACTATTAACTTGGGGGGGGGGGGGGGGGGGGTAAAACTGTGTTAAAGTTAACTTTAACTAACCTTTTGGCCTTGTTGCAGATGGAAATCTTTAGAACAGTAACAAAAACAATGAAAAGTTTAATTAGTTTTTAAACTTTTGATAAATGTACACAAATTTGATGTAGAAAAAATTTTTGCTATCTAATGTAGGATATCCAAATTTTGTAATTGTTACACACAAAAAATATTCTTTTAGTTCAAGCCTTTGATTCTATCTGTACACAGTCTAGTTACAAATAGAAATAATTAATTGTCAGAAACACTTGTTTTTTTAAGTTGTACAGAACATCTGAAGAACTTACAAGTAGGCCTCCACACTCCCAAATTTCATCATATAGTCTGTATGTCATTTGTAAAATTGAGAAGTATTGCATAATTTACAGAAGGTTCTGTAAAAAAAAACTAGGTACTTCGAATATTTGTTTACCTATATCTGATTTCTTTGACTTATTTCTAATGAATCTACCACTTTCAGCTGGTTGACTGGCGTAGTGAGTTTACCAAGTGGTGGACCAATGAGTTCAAGGCAGTTAAGTTCCCATCGGCCGGGCACGTGTTCAACTACTTCATCGACCCCGAGACCAAGAGGTTCCTTCCGTGGACGGAGAAAGTCGCAAAGTTTGAGTTGGACACTGATATCCCACTTCAGGTAATAGTTTTAGGGACAGTGTACCTTTTTCTCCACAGTAAATAACTTCTTCACTAGCATTTTACGTTTTCATCTTCTGTCTTACAAAGTCAATGGGTTACTTTAGCTTCAGGTCAAATGAACCTTTTTTAAAATCCAAAATCAAACTTCCTCGTCATTGCATTCACGGATCTATGTATTAAAAAATATTGGTTTTTCTTTTCCGAGTTGGTTTGGCTCTTCTACCCAACCGGTTTTAATATTTTTGGGTTTAAATTAAAGATCTACACACACAGATTTGCTATCAAGCATCATCCTTTATTTATCTTACTTACATTTCTCAGTCTTTAGCAAGAGGGTTCAAATTTATAAATGAGTGACTGATGTTGCAGTCTACATTGGTCAACACAGCTGAGACGACGAGAGTCCGCTACTTTGTCGACATGTTGATAGACAAGCGCAAACCTGTCATGTTGGTGGGCGGAGCTGGCTCGGGCAAGTCTGTGCTCATCAACGAGAAGCTCAACAGTTTGTCGGAAAATTACGCCGTCACCAACGTGCCCTTCAATTTCTACACCACTTCCGGTGAGTGACCTTTAAGTCTGCAACTCCTGAAATGACCATACAAAATAGTATTTGTATTCTGTGCTGAAATGTTGGTTGTCAATTTTCTCGCATGTTCTTAACATGTTGCGGTTTGCTAAGCTTAAAGATCTTAATAACAGTTGAATGTGCTGTACGCTAATATTGATAGTCCTTGAAATCCCCCGAGATTCATAAAAAACATGTGTTCATGCTTTACAACCTATAAATACACACCTTTGCAAACTCTAACTACATTTTATAGCTTGAGATGGATATTTGATATTTCCAGATATTTGAGAGAAAGTACACGAAGTTTTACAACTAATTAACATCACAAAACCTTTTATATTCTAAAATTGTCTAAAAATGGTGCAGTAAAAATCCCACATCTATGAAGCACTAGAATGTTCACTGTAAATTAGGATTCAATTTAGACAAAACAATAAATAACCAGAGGTGACTTTTGATATGTAATTAGAAACAAGTAGTCTAAGTTAATCAAAAGAGAAGTTGCAGATTTTCTTATATAGAACAGTCACCACAGATTTCTATTAGTATTTCTTATTGTTTTGGTAATGTTTGTATCCAGAAATGCTACAGAAAGTGTTAGAGAAACCGCTGGAGAAGAAGGCCGGACGTAACTACGGACCTCCTGGTAGCAAGGTCATGATCTACTTCCTCGATGATATGAATATGCCTGAGGTAAATCAAAACTAACACATAGAAAATGTACCACAGTGTAATTTATTTCACACCGACTAATGTATTCAGAATTTAAATTGAACTCTTTGTTGTTTGGTATAATGTAGAAATAGACTTTTAAGTCATATTACGCTTGTTCCAAAGATTTAAAATAGTACAAATCCCAGAGTCTTAGTAAGATCAATAACATGAAAAATTTGCCTCGGTTTATTTTCTTTAATTTACTGTAATTTGTTTGTTAGGCAGGTTAAGTGTAAGAAGTGGTAATGTGGCCCTAACTTTGCTTGTTTGAATAAAGATTTAATTTGAAGAACAGTGACGAACACATTAGCTACTTCTACATTTCATTAATCATCTACATCCCCATCTATGGATCATCTGTATAACCATACTGAGTAGAAGTAACAGGGTTTGCAAAGAAAGGTGATAAGTTTTGGTGGCTTAAACACTGTGACAGCTATTTTTGTGGCAGTTAAAAACTAATCAGGTAGCTGATAATTGTACACTGGGGGAAATTATTGGCTTTATATAATCTTTTATTGCTTCCGGAAACATTGTAAATCACGCAAGTTGTTTCACACAGGTTGACAAGTACGGGACAGTGCAGCCGCACACTTTGATCCGACAATGGATGGATTATCAACATTGGTACGACAGGACCAAGCTCGCATTGAAGGACATTCACAATATCATCTTCTTCTCGTGTATGAACCCGACTGCGGGAAGTTTCACGATCGACCCGAGGCTGCAGCGACACTTTTCTGTCTTTGCACTCAGGTGAGTGAGGTCTTTGGATTGAGGTTGTTGAAGGGGTTGAACTAATTGTTGCAATACTTTGTGGTGTTTTATAAGAGAAAACTAAAACTCTTGAAAAAGATGTCAAAACTCCTCAAATTCTGGTGGATATTCCAGTAATCTAATCATCAGTACAAGACACTAACTAAGCTAGTATTATACACTTTTTGTTGTCACCATATTGTGATCAAGGATTTTTAGTTTGTACCTATTTCAACGTTGAAGAATTTGCCCACCTCTGAAAGTTGTGTTTTTTGTTCTGCTTTCTAAATAATACCCATATTTGAATTCAAAAGTACCTTGTAAATCATCCAGTGACTATAAAACTACATATTAGTTTTAGATTCACCAAGTAGGTCCAAATTATCTTGGATAAATAGTTATTGGTGATTCTGAGAGCACCTAGAGAATTCGTTGTAGTACCTATAATCTTTGAAAGCCAAGGAAGTTATGAAAAACAACTATTAATTAACATATTTATAATTCAGAATTGTTTATGTCCCACCTTCACACCCTAAGACGTTAGTCTCTAGCCTAGAACCGTTTAAAACATTACTTCAGACTAGGTTAAGAGAGTCGTGGTATTATCATAGGTAAAAGCCATTGGCGATTTGTGGGATTTGAACCCAGGACCTAATGAACCAAAGCCCCATGTTCTACCACCAAACCAGCTTGCACTATAGCATTAATAAGGAGGTTAATTATTAATAATCAAAATCTACTTTTTTGTCAAGTTTTCCCGGCCCGGAAGCTTTGTTCCAAATCTACAACAGCATCCTGCACCAGCACGTGTCCAACTCGTCGCTCAGGTTCCCGACAGCCGTGGTCAAGACTTGTGACCTCATCACGCAGCTTGCTCTGGCCATGCATTCCAAGATGTCCACCGTTTTCTTGCCGACGGCCGTCAAATTTCATTACACATTCAATTTGCGAGACCTGGCAAATATTTACCAGGTGAGACGAATCAGTGGTTTTTACAAACCCAAATTATGTGTAGTAAATTTGATTTCTAACAAAAGTTGTAGGATATATAAGTTGACTATGAGCATCATCATTAGAGGCGACCTTGCTGTTTGATGTGGATCAGCCAAATTGTGATGTTTGCACTTTTCTGAAAAACCTCTAGAAACTTAAACCACTATCATCCGTTGTTGACTTTTTATTTAGTTTTGGTGACGGGAATTCTGTAAACTTGTTTTGTAGTAAGAAGTTCTCAAGAATAAAGTTATTTTGATTTCATGATGAGTTGTATAGTAGAATATGTAATTTTAACTACTGGTATGTTAGTTGCGGACTATGATACATTCACATATTTATTGCCACCAACCTATGTTTGTGATTACAGGGAATGTTGTTCTGCAACAACGAATGTATCACGACTCCCGGCAGGTTCGTAAGACTTTGGATGCACGAAGCATCAAGAGTCTATTGTGATAAGCTTGTGGACCACAAGGATCGCGACATCTTCTCCAAACTCATGACGGAGAACATAAAAAAAGTGTTTGCTGTAAGTATTGTTGCGATTCTAGGAGTTCAAATTTTGTAGCCCAAAAAAGTAATTTTTACTCGTACATCATTAAACTCAGTTTTAACTTCAGCTCTTGCAGACTGTCCCTTTTTGACGTTTCCTTTCAATCTTAGCTTTATTTGGAAATGATTGTGCTATGGCCATAGGTAATAGTACTGTCTTCAGCCTTATTTTGGTTTATATAATTTGTTATCTATATAAAATAAGTTATTAAAAAACTGAATTTTGATACTGTAGCAAATTTTAAACAGTTTTTTTTCAAGAAAACTTCAGATATGGATTTAATTTTTAAAACCAACAGATATTTAGTTTACTGTACATAGGTTTAAGATGCCCAGGAACATAATGTGCTAAATAACTATTGTTGATTTTTATAAAGTTGTTCACTGTTCTGCAGGCCTTTGTTGTGGAGGTGAGGTAACAAGTTAGAAAGAAATAGAGTGTAGAAATTGCAAACATTAGAGATCATCTCATTTTCATAATTTGAATCTCGCAAATCTTTGTACGTCATTAACTTTTGTGATTACAAAAAGTAGAAGGGATATTGATCATTCCACATGTTCTACTGAAGACCGGACAAAAAGTGTCATCTTCTACATACTGCACATCTTTTACACATACATCCAAACAAAATCATTGACAATCAGATGATTTTCAATATGCGAACCCCTCCTATCCTAGGGCGATAGTGACATTTTCATCCTATTAACATAACATTTTGTTAAGATTTTTGGTGATAGTGATAATACACCGAATAGTAACACATAATCTAGACAATGTAGAACACACACAATCCACAAATCACTTTTAGTGATTTTTTTTAGCCTCAAGTTTTTGTGTTAAATTTGCTTATTAGAGTCTAAATACTGTACATAATGTATGAAAGCTAGAAAAATTAATCTATAACTTGATTAATAAATCAATGAAGACTTTATTTGGAAGATTATAGTCACATTTCTGTAATTTCAATAAAAGGATATGAGTTCAATTTGTCTGAGTTTTATTTGATTAAATCTATACAAAAATTAGTAAACTAAAATAATAAGCATAATTCATCTATGCATGACTAATTTAAGTGGTACGCCAAATATTTGTGTCTTGTGAGATGGTAAGCTGGGATAATATATTGGAAAACATGGCTCTCGAAGACACTTAAAAGCAAACAATAGACATTAATTATTTTAAAGACGTCTTTTTGTATTTCTCTCACAGGAAATGCCCGACGCGGAGTACAACGAGAAACCGCTGATCTTCTGCCACTTTGTGGATGGCCTCGGCGACCCCAAGTATTTGCCGATGCCGAGCTGGTCGACGCTCAACAAGCTGTTGTTGGAGGCCATGGCGCAGTACAACGATCTGGTTGGCGCCATGAACCTAGTGCTGTTTGAAGACGCCATGAGCCATGTGTGCAGGTACTTCAACGTTCTGGCGTGGTTAAATTGGATTATTTCCGTCAATTGATCGATAGTATAGAAGTCATATAAGTAATCCGTTACTCTCACAACAATGGTTAAAAAAATTGCTGTAAACAGAGTGTGTTTAGAAAGAACGTTGGTGATGAGACGGTTGTGTACAATTGGCCAAGAATTGATCTGTACAATATGATGGAAAATCTACAAAGGTGCATTTGAAAGATGTTGTGTTGAGTTGGAGTCGGAAAAATAAATTTGAATCTTTGCCAATCTATCAAACTAAGAAATTAAACCGACTCATGCACAATTTAATTGGCTCGACTATTAAACTTTCTATGAGATGTGTGTTTTCAAGTAATTACTGGATTGCAGTTTCACAAGTTTGACTAGTGGCTTCACTATTCACTTTGGAATTTATTGATGTTAGTTGCTCTGTCTACAGGATCAACCGCATCATGGAGGCCCCGAGAGGCAACGCTCTACTGGTGGGGGTCGGAGGCAGCGGGAAACAGTCCTTGTCTCGTCTCTCCGCCTTCATCTCCGGACTGGACCCGTTCCAGGTGCAACTGAAGAAGGGATACAGCATGAATGATCTAAAGGTGAATACGATTGTCACCTTGAACATGGCTGTACTGACTCTCTAAACCTCAGAGAGTTAGCTGGTAGAGGTAGCTGAGTAGTTATGGTGCTCGTCTAGTAGGTAATCAATTGTCACTAGTTTGATAATGTGAAGACAGAAGGTTTTTGATGGTTGAAACTGAACCCAGCTGACTCTGATGATTGGTCCTAACTAAATAAACAGCTGATGCTAAGATACCGCCTGATTGTTCAGCTATAAATACCTATTGAAATGTGCATTGCTGTCTTAAGAGATTTTTTTTATTCAGTTATTTAATTATTACTATTTTTCTCATGGTTTCTTAATATCTTATACACCCGAAAATACAAAATGCTTTTGATAACACATTTTTGGTAAGTATAAGCAAAATGCACGATTTTAGGTGAAATTCACAAGGAATCCGCCGCACCTTGTCAAATTTCGTTTCAGGTGTTAAATTTAGGTGGACCTCTCCCATTAAGATTTGCCACAGACTGGTGATTTCCTCACGAATTTCACAACAGAGATGGGATTCAAACTCTCAACCCTTTATCTATGGTGCTGCCTTCCGGTCTGAGAGCCAATCCCGTGGTTCAACTGCAAAGTGGTGCTAGCCGCAGCAACTTGATTGAATACAATTATCGTTGGAATAATTTAATTGTTGGAAATATTTTCACCTGATCAAACTTAACTGTGTTTTCCAGAGTGACTTGGCAGGCTTGTATATCAAAGCGGGGCTGAAGAATGTGAGCATTATGTTCCTGATGACAGACTCGCAGGTGGCCGATGAGAAGTTCCTGGTTCTGATCAACGACATGTTGGCGTCCGGAGAGATTCCAGAGTTGTTCGGAGACGACGAAGTCGACAACATCATCAACGCCATTGGCCCAGAGGTAACCAAAGTGACAGTTTAGATGTTCACGAGGAGTTGTTTGATCAAATTTATCACAGAAGTGCTCACGAGAAATCAAAATTTGAATTACTGTTGCAACTTGTTAAATATTTCATCTTCAATTCCAGTTTTTTCCGAGATAGGTGTAGACTCGGCCCCTCAATCTTCTTCCTAGTTTCTTTTTCTCCATGATTTCCCATTTTTCTCTTTGCTTGAACCTTCTTCACCTTACAAGTGCTCGTCTAGCAGTCAAAAGGTCGCTGGCTCAATCCTGAGAAAAGTCAGTAGCTTTTCGATGGTTCGAAACTGGACCCAACTGACCTTAATCATTAGGTTTTTAATAAATCCTGGCCAAAGAACCAGCTGATCTCAGTCAGCAAAACCATCATCTCATTCATGCAACACCATTGATTATCTTCACCTTGAAATAGTTACTCTATTGAGTCTCCGTTGTATAAATCTATTCTAATCAAGTGCTACTACTCTATGAATGAATTCACCCAGAATGTTCCCAAGTTAGTTTTTCAACCACTGCACCCTTAACAGGTGAAAGGCGCTGGTATCCAAGACACACGAGACAACTGTTGGAAGTACTTCATCAACAAAGTGCGTCGTCTGATCAAGGTGATTCTCTGCTTCTCCCCCGTCGGCTCCACTTTGCGAGTCAGAGCACGCAAGTTCCCCGCCATCGTCAACTGCACCTCCATCGACTGGTTCATGGAGTGGCCACAAGAAGCGCTGGAGTCTGTCTCCGGAAGGTTCCTGGCGGAGGTGGACGTACTTCCGGTAAGATCGGAAACACTAGGGTATGGTAGTTGAAGTAACGGAAGTTGTAAACGTTTTGTTAGAGAAGAAAAAAAAGACATTGTGGGACACGCTATAGGTGTACCGGTAATCTTTGTTCAGAAAATATTTTCTTTAGCTTTCAAGGTCATGATTTAGAAGATTGTGTAACATTAAATCAAATCAAAAACTGCTTAAAGCGGTGAAACTATTATTGGAAAGTCTACCACTTAACCTATAAAAGTTATTATTTGTTGATAACATTTATGTTAGTTATTAAATGACACAAACACTGAAACGAAAATTAATTAAATACAGCTCACTAAAGATAACTTGGATGGTTATTGGGGAATATAAGATTTATGACCATACTTTAATGTATATGTCTGGTCGAATAAAGATACACGAAGCTTCGGTTGACGTGCCGGGATCCTGAGTCCGCTCCCTCATACAATAAAACACAATGTAATACAAGATACACAAAAGAAGTGTATTTGAGATATTTTATTAAGTACAGTTCTGTTAAGTATGAACATTAGACTCTAAATAACTAACACTTACAGGACCAGTAGTGTCTTTCTTTGATTTAGATTAATATATTAATAATAACCGTGTGTAGCTTCATCTTGGAGTCCTGAATATAGTTTTTGTAAGCTACATCATAAATTCAAATTGGAATCGGTTTGAACACCATCACTGGAAGGATGCGAGACTTTAAACATCACACATATCAAATTATGATTTCAGGTATTTGCTGGTGACCCATTTATCTCAGGGTTGACTAAACAAGTGGCTCGTATTGTCGAGAGTTCTGTATTTTCAATTAAAGATTTTTTTCTCCTGATTTGTTTTCAGTCTCAGATACGTAAGTCGGTGTCGTTGTTCATGGCCTACGTCCACACTAGCGTCAACACCATGTCCAAGGTCTACCTGGATAACGAGCGGAGATACAATTACACGACGCCAAAATCATTCTTGGAGCAGATCCATCTCTACTCCAAACTGCTCAAGTTCACTCTCAAAGACTGTTTAGCCAAGTCAAGGAGATTGCAGAACGGACTGAAGAAACTTGTCGGGTGTTCTGATCAGGTAGGTCTGATCTGCTTGTATAACTGTGCAATGAATATAGTCCAGTCAATGAAGGTAAAATACTGTATCGATAATTAGACTGATTCTAAGCAACTTTTGTACTATGGGGTTTTTTGTAAAAGCCAATACTTTTTAACTTATGATATTGGGAAAAAAGTCCAAGAGACTAAAAATTTTACTTTTTATGTTCCAAGTATTTAGGCGTAAGTGATATTAATAAAACACTTCAAACATATTAATATTCAACAACACAATAAACACAATGACAATAAACAGGTAACTGTTTTGAGTGTTTTTTTATAGAAATTGAAAACAAATCATTCATCTTACAGGTGGCCAGCTTAAAGACCCAGCTGGCTGAACAGGAAAAAATCATTCAAGAAAAAACTAAAGCAGCCACAGAACTGATCAAAATCGTTGGAAAAGAACAAGACAAAGTAGCCAAGGAGAAGATCAAAGGTTTGTTTGGTTTATCTTTTGACAACAGCTTTTGTTAATGCAAAAAGATTATGCAATGAATCCAATACTGTTGCAAGCATTCTTAAAAATAACAGCCAATAAAATTCCATGACTCTTAAAAAATCTTTATTTTTTATTTTTATAGATGACACTTGTAATGTTTTTCTTCTGTAACAGTTGCGGAAGAAGAGAGAAAAGTGAAGATTATGGAGGAGGATATCATGGTGAAACAAAAACTGTGTGAAGAAGATTTGGAGAAAGCAGAACCGGCCCTCCAGGCAGCCATGGCAGCATTGAACACCTTAAATAAAGTAAGAGTTTATCAGTAAGAGATAACAAATGAAATGGCCAAAGGCACTTTTTCGAATCTTTCTTTGCCCTTTACATGATTCCACATTTAAAAAAATTAGTTTTGAGTATTTAGTTTTTGATTTTAACATCTTTATTTTTTATCGATTGTTGTTTGTGTTTGTTGTTGTTGTTTATTGATCAAATCAAATCAAAATATCTTTATTCGTAATCTGTACATGCTTGGTACATTGAATAGTGTCAATGAATTGCCTATATTATATTTAAAATATTTGTAACATAGGCCCTAAAATTAAAAATGTAATCAAATAAAGTTAATAGTACAAATTCTTAAAATACCTTAAATATAATGATGTTTGTTGTTTGCGCTAGAACAACTTGACAGAGCTGAAGTCGTTTGGCGCGCCGCCGTCAGCCGTTGTCAAGATCTGCGAGGCCGTGATGGTGTTGTTTTGTAAAGGAAAACTGCCCAAAGACAGGAGCTGGAAAGCCTGCAAGGTTGGTGGCATTTTTTTGTGTAGAAATTTGTAAAATACATTAGAATGTAAGGAAGGTTTTTAATCTATATATCTAATTCTGTAAGCCCAAAATTTTACAATGAAATTGTGAGTGAACGGGAGGCCGTAGAAAGCTGGGAGAGGTCTCATTTTAAAGGTCTGGGCATGAAATTTTGGGGAAAATTAGCCATTTTCCTTAATTATGTACCAAAAGGTTATTACGGAATAAATTAATTCTCATTTAAATAGCATGGGAATCCAAGGTCATGTCTGCTTTGTTTACTTTAAAACATGTGGTTTAACTTTATTTAAAGCATATGGTAATTTGTAATATGTACTGTAATATGTATACTACTGTATTATAAAGCTGAAATAGACTTTTTTACAATTTTAAGGATCTGAATCAGTTAGTTAATGGAGTACGATTGGTTGTGTTAAGTATGTCTGAAAAAAGTTAGAAGGAATTACTGGAGTAGGCAAAGGGAACATATTTTTGATGCCAAAATAAAACTAATATCTACAGATGCTAATATATGCCGTTTAAGTTTACAAGAATTCAATTCCCATTGCGATTAGCTCTCGCTATTCTATATAAAGCGCAAGGCCAAACCTTCACAAAAGTTGGCATTTATTTGGAAAAAAACCAATGTTTACCCAGTGGCCAGCTTTATGTTGCTTTTAGCCGGGTAAAGCGGCCAGATGATGTTAAAATACTACCAAATAAAGACCAAGGAATCTACTTTAATATGGATACTGTAAAACAGAGAGTTTTTGCATTTTACAATTTGGAGGATGACATTATCTCTATGTGTTTTTTCGAAGTGAATTTGTCTATATTCAACGAAATTTATATGTATTTAATTAATAGTCATAAAGATTAATATTGAAAATGTTCTTTAGTTGTATTATGATTAGAAAGTTTAAATTATAAACACACCGCATAAACAGTCCTTTGGAATTTTTATTTTAAACAGAGCAGACATCAAAATGCTTAATGCAGCTATGTAATAACTATCATACATATTAGGCTATAATATATAAAAATGTTAAACAATTATTCAAGTTAGGGTAACCCATGAGACTAATAATTTGTACAAAATAATTACTAGAATATTATAGGGGCCAGTGCCCCTACAAGCCACTAGTTATTACTAATTGGTGATGATAAAATACTCTACAGTCACACATTCAACAGTACAAGAACTTGTTAGACAGTATACAGTAGTGCTTCTTTTGACAGTTTAATTCTTCAGGCCTTCCATTCAAGATTATCCTTACATTTATTTCTGCCAAATTTACGCATCCAACTTTCTATGCATGTTGTCAGGTGATGATGGGAGCTCTAGACAAGTTCCTGCACAACCTGGTCAACTACGACAAAGAGAACATTCATCCTGACATCATCAAGGAGTTACTGGCCAAGTATATCAAGGACCCCGAGTTTGATCCTGACTTTGTGTCTGCTAAATCGTCTGCAGCTGCTGGTAACCTACTTTAGTCTGCAGTTTCTTTAGTTGCTAAAATATTGTTTTGAATCGCAAACTTCTGTTTTCCAATGTTTGACGATTTACTCTTAAAAGGTTTAATATTTTCCTTGTTTACCTTAAAGGCTTGGTGTTGTTACCTGATGTTCAATAAACTGTTTTTTTCAGTCTTGAAGTGTAACAGTACCAATTTTGGTATTAATCGTCCTCATACTTCTTATACAATGTTGCAATGGAATATAATCTTTGTACAACTTAACATTTTTTTTGCCATCAGTTAGTTGTTAGTTGATTGTATTGCTCCATACCAGAACAAAATCAATCTTTGACAACACACTTTAATCTCTATACCGTTCTTTATCATGTCTTTCTTTGATAGTCCATCTCTTGCACCAATTTGTTGAGAACCTATTTAGAGACAATGTTTTACCGATTCCTGTATTGCAGGCTTGTGCAGTTGGGTCATCAACATCTACGCGTTTCACCAAGTGTGGATGGTGGTGTTGCCGAAGAGGGTCGCACTGGCACAGGCCAATCAGGATCTTGCAGCGGCGCGAGCCAAGCTGGCCGAGCTTAAAGCCAAACTGCTGGTAACTACTGATACTCTTTATTCATTTGCCAACTCCACATCCTAGGACACTAAGCATCTCTTGCCCAGAGCCATTTTACACATTACTTCCAGGCGTAATCACATAGCTAAATCCATTGGTGATTGGCGGTATTTGAACCCAGGACCTTGAGCACCAAAGCCTTATGCTGTAGTGCTACTACTATTTGTAACGTGTTGGTTTCTGGGATAGTCACTCCTGTAGTTTAACTCTGTCTACGATGTATGATTTAACAATTAATTACAATACAAGTGAACTACATAAAATGTTTTATTTTATAGAATATGCTTTCATCGTATGTTTTAGTGGTTCGTACAGTATGCTAAATACACATCTTCATACAGGTCTTACTAAATAGTCTTAAGAAATCCCTACACAAGTTTGAGTGGTAACAACATTGGAAAAACCACAGTGCCAAACAAACTACACCGGCAGAAATAAAGGTTGTCAAGTTTTCTAAGATGAGGCTTTCAAAAGCGAGTTTTCCTACGATCATTCTTAGTATATTTAAGTAAATTGACACGTATAACCTCAACATTTCAGGAGTTAGAAATCCAGCTGGGAATACTCACGAAAAAATTTGAAGATGCAGTTGCGGACAAGTTGAAATGTGAAACCGAAGCTGAAAAAACCGCTGAGACGATCGATCTGGCCAACAGACTCGTCAACGGGCTGGCCTCAGAGAATCAGAGATGGAAGGACACCGTTGAGAAGTAAGCAAAAATTATACCAAGTATCTACAAGATAATATTCCTCATTAAATTAAATTATGTAGCTCATCCATCCTGTTGTCAAAAATCATTCATAAATGCACAGCTTTATAATGCTAGATCCTTCAACACATTTCTCTAATCTGCTCATTACATATTGTAAATTTTTTGTGTGATTAACTTTTTTTCAATGTTTCAGTCTACAGAAACAGTCACAGACTCTGCCAGGAGACATGTTGTTAGTGACAGCTTTTATCTCCTATGTTGGCTGCTTCACTCGCAAATATCGGCTCGACCTAATGAACAAGTATTGGAAACCTTTCATTGAAAAAGTCAAGGTACGTGCTATACGCATACGAATATCTTTTAAACTTTGTTTGCTTGTTGATTCTTGATTTTTATGCAAAGAACCTTCTATTCTTCACAAATAAGCGGGTTAAAATTGTGGTATGAATTATTCCCTCTTAGGAAATCATTATCGTAGTTGCTATCCCTTGAAATATTATAGACGTAATTCCACTCCTTGAAAAATTGTGTAACTGATTCAATTGTCGTGAGGTTTAAATATTTAATCCCCCTAGTTAAAGAATCAGTTGTGATTCCGGTTAGCTAATTTTCATCCACGTTCTCAGCCGGTCATCCCACTATCTGGAGACCTGGACCCTCTGAGTCTACTGACCGACGAAGCACAGATTGCGCAATGGCAGAACTTTGGCTTGCCCAGCGACCGGATGTCATCTGAGAACGCAACCATCCTCACAAACTCGGAACGTTGGCCGCTGATGATAGACCCTCAGGTCAGCTGAAATCCAGATTTTTTAATTTAGAGTTAATAGATATTAAAGAAGGTCTTGTGGTATTTCTTGATGATAAAATGATAATGGATTCCTGGGAAAAGATTTGGATTTGGATAAGCTGTGTTTCCTGCTAGTTACATATTACATATGTTTATCTTAACTTAACCTAAACCGGTTGTTTTCTGTCAGCTTCAAGGCATCAAGTGGATCAAAGCTATGTACGGCAGCAAGCTCGGCGTGATCCGGCTGGGTCAGAAGAACTACCTCGACCGTATTGAGAAGGCGTTGTCTGACGGCTCGGCCATCCTCATAGAGAACATCGGAGAAACTGTGGATCCCGTGTTGGACTCCCTGTTGGGACGCAACCTCATCAAGAAGGGCAAGTAAGTTGAATCTGACTAAAGGTATTGATTGTGTTTCTTAGTAAAAAGAAACTTGTGGTTCTAGAAATCTGATAAATTTGGGACTCCACTAGATTCATCATCATTTGTTTAGCTCCGGTGTTGCGAGTGTAGCCTCTTCCATCCTCGTCACTCTAAACAAAGGCAGTTCTCCCCTTTTTGCTGGAGACGTTTTTCTTTCAGTGTTAAGTGTTTCATTATGTCTCCTTGCGATTTCTTTAGAGGTTTTTTAAATCTTCTCACCAAAGTTTTGGCCCTCTTTTTTTGGTCATTCATCCATTTTATGTGACCAAACCACCTTTTATTTCTGTCTTGTTTTTTAACTCACATTTTCAGGAATTTAGATTTCTATAGTTTGCATTTGGCTATTGTCTTCTTTTTTAGTATGTGGTTTTAGGTCATGTGACTTAACATTGTTACTTTTACTTTTGTTATAATGTTGTTGTATAATGTTATGTTGTAATTTACCACCCGAAAAAATGGTATGATGGAAAAATGATATACTTATTCCTGTAGAACCATGTGTCTGGGACAATGTGAAGACTACTCAAGTAATGCTAATGACAAAAACTGTACCACTTGCACCACTTTCAGAGTCGTCAAGATCGGAGACAAGGAGATGGACTTCAACCCGAAGTTCCGTCTGATACTTCACACAAAGCTGGCTAATCCGCACTACAAGCCTGAGATGCAAGCGCAGACGACGCTCATTAACTTCACAGTCACCAAGGACGGGCTGGAGGAACAGCTGTTGGGCGAGGTGGTCAAGGCAGAAAGGCCAGATCTGGAGTCCCTCAAGGTAGCGTACTCGGTGTTTGTTGTATATAAGTATTTATCTTTCTGGCGAGGACAATGAAACACTTAAGTATGTACACGAACATAAACCTAATTTCTTAACACTAAGGTAGGGAAGACGATAGACTTTATTTACAAGTTATTTCCTATAGGTACATTTTACCTACAAACCTAAAGTCCTGTTCAAGAACTAATTCAGAGATAAGGGCCTCTTTAGCAGCCAATCTGTCAGATTTCTTCATGAAACAGACCGGGTTGGTTAGAGATTCTTATAACAGGTTACGTACCTTGACGTCCACAATTCCTTAGTTGGTATCCGTTGACTATAGTTTCGACTACTGCGTAGTCATTATCAAAAACGGAACGTTAAAATATTACATTCGTTGAATGTCGTCAAATCTTAAATACATTGAACACACAAACAAACATAACACAAACACGGTAGACATTTAACATAATTGGCCTGTACAATTACGAAATACTCTAGTGAGTCAGTCAGTCGTCGTCGACCAGTTCAGTGACGTGTGCCGGCCGGCCAATTATGTTAAATGTCTACCGTGTTCGTGTTATGTTTGTTTGTGTGCTCAATGTATTTAAGATTTGACGACATCCAACGAATGTAATTTTTTAACGTTCCGTTTTTGATAATGACTACGCAGTAGTCGAAACTATAGTCAACGGATACCGACTAAGGAATTGTGGACGTCAAGGTACGTAACCTGTTATAATTGATTACCAATTCCGGAAGGCTTCAACATGAATAAATATAGAGATTCTTATCTTTTATTTAAAGATTATCAAACAAAAAAATTTAGACAATTGAAATTAAATTGTAGAATGAATAGTCCAGTAATTTGTGATTAGAAGAAAAGAAATATATCATGAACCTAGTAAAGTAGTAATATTTCATTTTGTCTTCTATATCAAATTTTAAGCAAATAAATTTTAAGTTTATAGTTTAAGGTATCTTTTTATTGGATCAACAGATAACTTACGAGACATCAGTTGCAGCTTTTAGCTTATTTACAAAGCAAATTATGTTATTAAAATATTTGTTTCATTAGGCCGATTTGACGAAGCAGCAGAACGTTTTCAAGATAACCCTGAAACAGCTGGAGGACGATCTCCTGATGCGACTGTCCTCGGCCGGACCTGATATCCTCGGCGACAAGGAACTTGTGTTGAATCTGGAGAAGACGAAGAGGACTTCGGACGAGATCACGGTTAAGGTTAGTCACTGATGTAGGATTGTGTGAATTTGTATTTAAATCTTATTTTATTTGTGTGTGTTTTGACGCCATTGGCGTTCAACACTTTTGTAAGGAAACGGTCCAACCTGTTAAGCCACTGCTTAACGTTGATATTTTGTTAGACAAATAGCATCTGGGTTACAATATTTTATAAGTGAACAAAAATATATATTGACACATTTCCGAATATCCCTCAAGGTTTTTCAATTTCATGTGAAGAATCGTATGCTCTATATTATTTTCAAATGTCTACTGATGTTTTTATTCTGTTTCAAACCTAACCTTGTTTGTATGTTTGACAGGTTGCTGAGGCCAAAGTAACGTCTGCGAAGATTGACGAAGCTCGTGAGATGTACCGAGCAGCCGCTACTAGAGCTTCTATACTGTACTTCATATTGAACGATCTCTACAAGATCAACCCTATCTATCAGTTTTCACTCAAGGTATGATCTTGATACGTCTAACTGAGTTAAGGAAAATCTCTAAATGTGCTAGCTTAGTTGAGTCCAAAACTCAAGTTGTACTGGTGATATAATAATATTGTAAGTAGCTTAGCTCTTATTGTAATTTTTTAACACAGTCAAGGTATTATTTTTTCCTTTATGTTTCCCTAATTATTATTTCCTAGATGCGTCCCTGGTCATAGTGTTTCTATAATGTATCCAGGCTTTGAATGACAATTTGTTGAACGTTGTGAGCTAGAATGTTACTAACCAATGAAGGATGGCATACATTGTTGCATAGTCTTAAATTTGTGTTGTGAAAAAGCCCACCATTGTCTGATAACTGACTGACACTGGAGGTATAAACGTTTCACTGCAATCGCGGGAGATGTGCATGACTTCCCTGTGACCACAGATGATTTTCACGGGGTTTGTGAAAAAGCCCACCATTGTCTGATAACTGACTGACACTGGAGGTATAAACGTTTCACTGCAATCGCGGGAGATGTGCATGACTTCCCTGTGACCACAGATGATTTTCACGGGGTTTGTGAAAAAGCCCACCATTGTCTGATAACTGACTGACACTGGAGGTATAAACGTTTCACTGCAATCGCGGGAGATGTGCATGACTTCCCTGTGACAACAGATGATTTTCACGGGGTTTGTGAAAAAGCCCACCATTGTCTGATAACTGACTGACACTGGAGGTTTAAACGTTTCACTGCAATCGCGGGAGATGTGCATGACTTCCCTGTGACCACAGATGATTTTCACGGGGTTTGTGAAAAAGCCCACCATTGTCTGATAACTGACTGGCACTGGAGGTTTAAACGTTTCACTGCAATCGCGGGAGATGTGCATGACTTCCCTGTGACCACAGATGATTTTCACGGGGTGTTCCACAATTGTGGAAGACGACGATTATTTCTCTACGATTTTGGTACTCGACTGTGAAAGCCGTTCACAGTTTTCATGTGATTACAGGAGAAGTTAACAATTTCACTGTAGGATATGTTCGAGATTTCACCGACATTATAGGAGGTTTATAACTAATTTGAATGTAATTTAAAATTATTAAACCCGATTCAACCTTTGTCCAGTTATGACTTGGAAAAACACATATATAGGAATTCATAAAAAAAGCAGAATGGGAATGCTGTTGCCAACAATATCAGTTGTATTTGTCTTTTTCATAAACAACGATATAATTGTTGTCTGCATTGTTTCAGGCATTCAGCGTAGTGTTTCAAAAAGCTATAGCGAAGGCTGATCCTTCCGAAAGTCTTCAGCAAAGAGTCGCAAATCTTGTTGATTTCATTACGTTCTTTGTGTTTATGTACACGAGTCGTGGACTGTTTGAGTGTGACAAACTCATATTTCTTGCCCAAATGGCCATTCAGGTAATCCACATTAATTTGATGTTTTGAAGTAACGTTTTTACATTGATGGTCAATAACAGATTTGTCATGAGAATTGAATTTTCTTGGTGGTATGTAAAGGGTTTGTTGAATTGAAGCTCTTAAATCCTACGCTTTGGAGAACTAAATAGTGTTTTACATTTTTTCCTGTCGTAAAAAAACTAACTGACAGTTCATGATAACCGTTAAAAAAACAATGCACCACATTTCTATAAAGGTTAATAATATTTTATAAAACTTGAATTTGTTTGAAGCCTGTTTGTTTGTGTAAAGTATTAATCCAGCAAAGCAAGGGGTGAGCCGGGACAGTACGAAAACACACTGTAATGATTAATTTTAAATGCCATAAACCGTTGACATCATGTATCACCGTAGATTATCAAACTCCTTGTAATTTTATGAGATCTTGTTTTTTTTTAAGAATCCTTCTTTTTGGGTTTGACAAAAGGTTTTAAAATATATATTCAGCTGAATAAAATAGATACAGTTTTACACAACAATTCACATGACTGTATCACTGCTCGTTTCATAGATTTTACTGGCGAGTCGAGAAATATCGCCGGAAGAACTTGATTTTCTCTTGCGGTTTCCCTTTGTACCCAATCTAACGAGTCCCGTAGACTTCCTGACCAATAACTTGTGGGGCGGAATAAAAGCACTTGCTAACATGGACGTTTTCAGGTAACAGTAGAGTTGAGCGTCACAAAGTAGAAGATCATACACGATTGATTTCATCCTAGGCTTCATATTTCACACGCTGTCACCGTCACTGGCAAGAATAGTTTAAATTATGTAAATTCTATTTTTTAGCTGAGAATGAATTTTGATTTGAACACGAGTAGAGTTTATTTTGTAACATAATGCAATATTTTTGCTTTCATTTCTTTTCTTTTTGGTGGTAATCGACTTTCAAGCATTAGTTAATTGACTAGGCCTATAAGGGCTTTAAAAGTAATTAATCACATTTTTTATTTGATTCAGATTAATTTACTTTGTAGACTTGGCAGTAAACTTTGACTTGGATCACAAATATATATTTTGATAGTTTAAGCAATCACATTTTCATATTTTGGTTACAGGTTTTTAACAGTCATAAATTTAAACATTACAAATCAAGTAAAATGATAAATTTTTTTACTATGAAAACCAAATCTATCTATACTTATTTAATACGCAAGCAGGATTTTTGTGACAATTACTCCTCCGAAACTACTAAACCGATTGACATGTTTTTGGTGTCATTGGAAAGAGCGTAACGTGAAGGTGTGCAGGAAACTTTCTTTTTAGGTAAATAATTAGAGGGTGAGGCCCTAGGGCCCTTTAAAGATTTGTATTTCTCCATTAGATTAACATGGGAAACAAAATTGTTTTGAAACTCCAGCTGTTGTCAGAAATTAGATATTAATAATTGGTCTCCATGGAAGCATGAGAAAATTCACAATGTTTACATTTGCTTTGACATTTAAAAGTAAACAACCAGAACTGTCAAAAATGCCTATTTCAGACAGCTGATCCAAAAAAATAAAACAACTATGTATGTGGTAGGTTTAATTAATCGTAAACTTTATGATAGATTATTTATTTTCCTAAATCTATTTCAATGATTATGAAACAGATTTTTCCCGTTGTGAAGCAAAAATTAAAAAACTCAAACTCAAACTCTTTATTTGCCATAAAAAACATTACAAATTTGAGCATAGCTCATGTAACAGATGGCATGTCAATTATGCTAGAGTGTAAATTAATTATTACAATTAATTACAATTACAATTATTACAATTAATTATTAAAAAATCAAATACAATGGATAAGATACAGTCTAACAAAAATGAGAATATATACAGTACAACACCCCTGACTCAGACAGATGTGCTCGTTTAAAAAAAAAAAATCGTCCACTTTATAAGGACATGTTGCAGCTAGATGAGTTTCCAGTTTTTTTAAAAATGTGTTAGTTTTTTTTTCTTTTTTTATCTCTGGTGGAAGGTCATTAAACAGTTTAATTGCCATGTAATATGGACCCTTCTCCAAAAGAGACAATCTATGTTTAGGGTACCGCAGAGTGTCTGTGTTTCTTGTACCCTGAGTCCCCAGACTGTTATTTGAAAAATATTGTTGATGTTTTTTAAAGAATTTCAGAACTTCAAAAATATAAAGAGCTGGTACAGTTAATAGTTTAGAATTTTTGAAATATTGTTTACATGATTTTCTAAATTTTAGTTTAAACATTGCTCGAATGGCCTCTTTTTGTAACTTGAATATCTTGACAATTACTGATGTCCCACCCCAAAGGATGATGCTGTACCTAACAATTGATAAAAAATAACCATGATAAACCTGAAGACATGTCTTTATATCTGAGATGTTGGCAATAGTTCTAATAGCATGAAGAGATTTATTAAGTTTTTTTTGTATGGCCAGAATTTGATCATGCCATTTTAAGTTGTCCTGAAGTGTAAAACCTAGAAAGTTCACACTAAGGGAATTTTCACAAAGTTCTTCATTTGGCATGAGGAATTCCTCATTTATTTGTTTGTTTCTATTGTTAGAAGTGAAAGCTAAGATTTTTGTTTTGGAGCAATTCAAACTAAGACAGTTTTTGGATAGCCAGTCAGATATTTCTTGGAGAGTATTTAAAAGCTTTACTTTTGTTATTTGTTTGTTTTGACCCATAATTATTGCTGTAGTGTCGTCTGCAAAAAGGTAAAGTGGAGTATTAATGTTGATTGGCAAATCATTAATGTACAACAGAAACAATACTGGCCCTAAAATAGATCCCTGCGGCACCCCACAGACAACCTCCCTCCAAGTTGAGAAGTGAGCAATTCTGTCATCATCGAACATTTTAACTCTTTGGAATCGTTTTGTCAGATAAGATTCAAACAGGTCATGTGCTATGCCACTAAATTCATAATAACTCATTTTGGATAGCAGCAGTTCGTGGCTGACACAATCAAAAATTGTGTCAAGAGTATCAAGAGTATCAAGAGTGTCAAGAGTATCAAGAGTGTACATTCTGGTAAGAGGTCACTTTAAAAGTGAGAAGAAGAACATATGTTAATTGTAAACAGTCAATGTGTAAATAATTATCTATGTTGTATTAAACATGTGTATAGTTTTGGATGTTGGTTTGTGTTTAATGATTTACTAAAGTTATTAATCATTTAATTTTTATTTTAAGGATTTGGCATATGAGTATACCTATGATAAATAACACCATTTCAGAGTTCTGCCAGTTTTTGCCTAACTCTGTTCTTTAGAGTTTAAAATAGCCTACACGTTTATTGTCTGCAAATTGACTAAATAACTTAGGTACGGTACATTATAAAAGCTGACAGCTTTTTTACGCTGACTTAAATTGTAAGCTTACCTTTCCCCGTCCATGGGCAGTTTGATAGTTAAAAATTAACCCTTTAAACTGGAATAGGACTGTTATGTAAGCTGTGAGTATTTCCATTAGTTAATAATCTTTTAGTCGACTCTTTTAAAATCATCGAAAATTATGACTGTTATTAGTTTTTAAACGTTTATAAATAACTCCTGTACTTCTTTGCAATTGCTCGATTTCGAGCAACATGTACACTAGTTTTATTAAATTTTCTGAACCAGTGGCATATGATTCATAAGGTCTCCACGAGAGCCCTTTCGTGACAATAATAAACACACACTTGAATTAATCTAATCTGATTTACATCGGCTACTTCTTTTTTCAAATATTCTTCCTTAAAATCAAAATGCCTCATAGCTTTTAAAATGTTTTTACCATGTACAAAAAATCTTGATATCTAATGGTTTATTATTTTTAATACTTTAGGAACTTGGACAAGGACATCGAAGGGTCCCAGAAGAGGTGGAAGAAATTCATCGAAGGCGAATGTCCGGAAAGGGATAAGTTCCCTCAGGATTGGAAAAACAAATCCGCCTTGCAGAGACTGTGTATGATGAGATCGATGAGACCAGACAGAATGACTTACGCTGTCAGGTGAGATTTGAGCGCTAATATCAAACTTGAGGCTGTAATCAAGATGTCTGAGAGTCTAACAAACCTTTTATCTGGTGCTGATTAAGTCTTATGTTTGAATACTTACTGTGAAGTAACGTGATTGTTTAGCTGATTATATGTAGCAACTGGTGACCCGTTGAGACAATTCACTCTCCACCGCTTTTTTTTTCTCATCAGGTCTTTGACTTGGAAATTTGGAATACAGTTGCTTAGGTTCTGAATATTAGGATGAAACAGCAGTTTTCAATTCAAAGCATTGTTTAATTTCTCTTTCAATGCCTTTTACATCTCTTACTTTGAAAACATATTTCTTCATTACTTTATCCTGGCAATTACTCCACACATCCTGTAACTATTGAACTGCCTGTTCATTACACTGTTGTTTCAGGTGTTTCATTGAGGAGAAGCTCGGCACAAAGTACGTAGAAGCGAGAACTGTGGACTTTGCCAAGTCCTTTGAAGAGACCAGCTCCACAGTGCCTGTGTTCTTCATACTCTCCCCCGGCGTCGACCCTACGAGGGTGAGGTTTATTTGATAGAAACTTGATTCTCAAAAGAAATAATCCAGATCTTGTCTTTAATGTTTATGAGAATGAGAATGTCTCGTGAAGCTGAGATAGCGGGAAAAACTCTTTCATTCCGCATTCATCTTTTATGTCGCACCTACCTTTCTTACAAACCTTAGTGGGTTAGAGAAAATTAAATAAGTAATTTTGTTAAAATTTGTGTGTGGTAACCAATTTAATTTAATGTAAGCTTATTTAAGGAAAAGGACCTATCCATTACTTTCCGTTGATAGGGAGTTCTTTCTTGTTTTCTTCTTTGCTAATATCAAAAAACTCGTTGTGATATTGTAAAAATAAGGTGATAGAAAGTGTACTCTATGTGTAAAATATTTTAACACTATAAAATGGAAACTGTTCTAATTGATAAATTTGATAGGTATTTGGTGGATCTCATGGTGTACGATGTATATGTTATAGGACGTGGAGAGTATTGGCAAGAAGCTGGGATTCACAACGGAGAGACGCAACTTCCACAACGTGTCACTAGGTCAGGGCCAGGAGGTGGTGGCGGAACAAGCGATGGAGACGAGCGCTCACTACGGCCACTGGGTCATATTGCAGGTGAAACTCGTTTCAAAATTTAAACTCCATGAATTTAGAAATTCAATTATGCCTATTTTTACCACACATCTGATACAATAATTATTCCAATATCTAAAGGTAGGCTAATAACAGGTATATTCCTGATTTGAGGTGAAACCTACAAAGGAATTACGTAACATAAACTTCTTCATGTATCCATGGTTTATTATTTTAGGACTTCTCATTCACACATAAGATTGTTCTTCTACTGACTCGTATAACCTGGCGAACTCTTAAAACTTTTCAACCTTATGGTTTCTTTTCTTTTTCCCCAGAACATTCATCTGGTCAAGAACTGGCTGCCCACGCTTGAGAAGAAGATGGAATCGTGCTTTGAAAATCCGCATCAAGACTTCCGTCTGTTCATCAGCGCTGAGCCGGCTCCTAGTGCAGAGTTTCATATAATTCCTCAGGTTGGTGTCCAACCACTGAAGGGATGAACAATTCACAAATTAATTACTCGTTATGTTGGATCTGATTCATGTAAATGGTTTTTATTTGGTGGTACTTTAATAAGTTTAGTTTGGGATTGTGATACTTCAGAGGTTGAAGAGCACACTGCTTAAGTTTTGGGGCTTAGGCCTTCTTTTAATTTTATATATATTGACCTGTTGGTTGTTTATCCCGATTGTTAGTGATTTGGTGGGACTTTACTGCTACAGTAGACTCCCTCTTATCTGGACACCTACATCGGTTTAACCAGACTACACTCGGCGGAAATAACATCTCTTTTCCCGGACAATTTTTATCAGCACATTGGTTTAAAAGGACTGGATTGGCAGGAAATGGGCGGTACTGAAACGACAGTTCTCGTAGCAAAGATTAGAGGCCATTGATCACATGTCTAAATATGTAATAATCCTTATCGGCTTATACAGTATGCATTTAAATGGTCCCTTTTACCGAGTTTTGGGGGACGTCGGTTTAACCGGAAAACCCGTTATCCGGACTGGCCTTGGTCCCGAGGAGTCCGGATAAGATGGAGTCTACTGTAATTAATTACCCAGATTAAAATGTAACATTCTTTGTCTGTTAATTTGACTGGATTCTAAATGAGATGTTCGGCAGACTATGTTAAATTTCATTCTTTGAGGCTGGGATTGAAGGAGTAAAAAGAAAATATAAATAAGTTACATTCTGTCTTTTCCTCTAGGATTGATTGATAGTGATAATCTCATATGATTTTTTTATTTCTATACAAAAAATCAACTTACATTCCACCTTTTACAATTTTTGTTTGAGCAAAGTATGTTATAGTTTTTTTTTATAGATCTTATAAAGTTTCTTTCCCTTTTCATGTGATTCTCAATGTGGGAATCTATTTTTAGATGAAGGTAAGTGATGATGACGCTATAATTTGCTTTGTGCGAAAAACAACTTATCGATCTCGCAACATGTCTACAAATTGTGTACTAATCCGTTTGAACATGTTTTTCAGCTTAAGCAGCATGAGGCTGACTTAGGGAATTAGATTAGTTAGATCTGCCTTTTGGTTTATAGTTTAGATTATAAGATCCTAAAGAAGTCTTTGATAAAATTAACTTATCTCGTAAAAAAAAATGCAATGCTACAACAGATTTTCATTTTGTGACTTTTATGTACATAATGTAAAAATGCTTTGTGATATTTGAGTTAAAGCTTTGCGCATGTTCAAATAGAATAGAATCAAAGAACTAAAATTAGGTAAAGTTTTTGAAAATACAATCTTTTTCAGTCTTTTCTTTTATAAATGTGTATGATTATTTTGCTTGTGTGTGTAGTACTCATTGTTGTTCATAGTAAATTTAACAATACTTTAAGGTTAAAAGATAAATGTATGATCTAGAATTTGCTGTTGTGAGTATTCAGTACTTTTATGAAATACTTCAAGGTTAAGCTAACAGAGGTTCTTCCATATTGAAGTTGAACGTAGTGACAGGATGTTATAAGATCGTAGGCTACATTACCAGAAATATTCCAATGAAAGAACATGTTTGACACCCACACACTTTCAAGAAACATTGATTCAAAACGATATAATTGTTAACAGCAGGGGTTTAAAAAGGACTCCTGGCTAAGTAAGGAATAAACTGTTCTTAGTCAGTAATAAATATTTCACATCACAAACTACTCTTCCTTCATTAATCTTTTTTTTGCCTTTAAAGACACACCTATTGCCATTGTTGTTCATTTATTCCGTAATTCATGTAGGTAGCTAACAATTTGACTAGTAAAAAAATATTTCCTTGTTACAAGGAATGGTTTTCCAGTTTGTTAATTATACTTTTATATTTTCTGTTTAAAAGTTATTAATTTTTGTAGAGTTACTTTACAGCTTTTAGTAGGTTAGGTAATTATTTTTACCTTCCTAAAGCTCTATAATTACAGTAAATTGATCATCACCAACATTTTACCAACCAATACTGACTTCTACATCCGTCCAGTAAAATTCAAACCGTTTTTATTGATAAACCTGACGCTACTTCACAGGGAGTTTTAGAATCGTCAATCAAGATAACCAACGAGCCGCCGACCGGAATGATAGCCAATCTTCACAAAGCCTTGGACAACTTCAACCAAGACACTCTGGAGATATGTTCTAAAGAAGCGGAGTTCAAGGCTATCCTCTTCTCGCTTTGTTACTTCCACGCCGTCGTTGCGGAGCGCAGGAAGTTTGGGGCACAGGGATGGAATCGCACGTACCCCTTTAATGTCGGTGAGTAATAAAATTGGGGTTTTTTCTTGTTAGTATCTTGCCCAGTGACGTGTTCAATGAAGATACCACAAATGCTTTTGAGGGAAAGCGATGCAAAACCATTAAGCTTTTGTGGATATGCCAGGGATCGAATCTGTCCTCGCACCAAAATCCGTCTACCCATCTCGCTAACCATCACACCAAATTTACATTTGTTCTAACAACTGATGACTTGCGCTTTAACAATACAATTTTAATCTAGTCTATCAACCTTTTCTGACTTGTAAAGTTCAAACATTAGTTGTTGATTTCTGCACGTTTCTAATCATGCAGCTCTATCATCAGATCAGAATGCAAAACTTTGGTTTTATAGGTACTAGGTAGTCGCATAAGAATAAAAGTTCAACTTCACACGACTTAGTTTATATCCCACTATCACACCCTAGGACTGTTTTACATATTACTTTAGGCTATGGAGCATAAAATTCATTGGTGATTTTAATTCATCACTAAGTTCCCTCCCCAACAACACACTACCATACAACACATGGTAAACGTTTTGATCATATGATTCCTTGGGATGGACTGCATCACACCACTATTGCGCAAAGAACTGTTCAATATTTTTTTTCCTTTTCGAGTAGTCTTTTACTAGATCCTTCCTCTTGTAGGTGATCTGACCATCAGCGTGCATGTGCTGTACAACTACCTGGAGAACAGCTCTAAGATCCCGTGGGAAGACCTGAGGTACCTGTTTGGAGAGATCATGTACGGAGGACACATCACTGACGACTGGGACAGACGACTGTGTCGCACATATCTGCAGGAGTATCTGTCCCCTGAACTGGTGAGCTTGCTTTTTTGTGGTTAGTCTTGAAATAATGCAAATCGAGGGGACTGGTGCAAAAATTGCGCATTAAAATTCAATTCAATTATCAATTATTTAAGATGGGGACACCACTATGTGTGTCAAAAAGGCTTTGACACTATCATTTCAAAAGGGTTCTAAACTTGTTACCGAGGAAAAACGACTGCAATGCAATACCATTTTGCCTTACAAATGTGGCGTTTGTTTAAGAGTTGGGTGATTAAAACTAATAATTTACAGTACACAAATTGAATTTTTTTTCCAAAACATACAAATTTACAAAACACATACAATTTTATATCTACACTATAAAGAATGATTTACGTTTGTTCAAATTGTAACTATATACAAGAGGTTTAGTTTTTTTTCTGTCCAAGTAATCTTCAAGTTATATTGCAACCGGTTTTGACGTCTATGGCGTAAAATCAAGCGGCCATTTTCAAGCTGGATGTAAAATCAATTACTCGTAGATGTTGTCATAAGTCTTAAACTTAAACACAAGCAACGCTACTCATGAACACAAACAAAAAACAATAAAATGCATGGCATACAGCTTCTCATTACAACATGGCGGCAGTTACATGGTGTAGTTCTAGACTCGAGGAGTTGCCGTAAACTCCATCATTGTGTCATATAATCATAATTAGTTTCTAAAACATTCTTTTAAGATTATAAGAAACATACAGTTTAAACTATACCATCGGCATTACTATGATGATATCAAATAGCCTAAACATCAACCTGCTGAACAAGTTCGTAATCCTTTTGCCCATGACGTAACCGTTTCCCGCAGGTGGAGGGAGATTCGTTCCTGGCCCCCGGGTTCCAGGCACCTCCAAACCTCGACTATCAAGGCTACCACAACTACATCGACGACATGTTGCCTCCCGAGAGCCCAACGCTGTACGGGCTCCACGCCAACGCCGAGATCGGGTTCCTCACAATGCTTTCAGACAATCTGTTCAAGACCATCTTTGAGCTTCAACCTAGAGAGGCCGGGGCGTCCGCCAGTGGAGGCATCAGTCGGGAGGACAAGGTTGGTTTGTGGTTATGAATTTGTTGTAGGCAATAATTGTGGATTTTATTATTATAATCTCGTAGTGCTCCTAGTAGAAATTTCTTCAGGTGCTATGCGAAATCTTTTACTAGTCTCAAGGACACGTGTTGGGGTCAAATAAATCATAAAGCTGTCTATCCATTCAGGCACGATGTCGTTGTTTGTACTAAAATTTTCAATACAAATTAAATCCCAGGATGCGTACCCTCTAGAGGTACGAAGGGTTTGTTACATTTTAAGCCTTCCTCGGTTGGAACGGTTGACAGTTTGAAGACTTTATATAAAGTCAGGCAATATATTTTAACGAGTTTCTATAGGTTCATAGCAGATTTTAGATTAAAAAAGCAGAATCCTTGCAAATATTCTATTCTGTAATTTTAAACAGTACTCGGAGACATGGTCAGCGGTCAAAGGAGAGCAAACATTCTTGCATTAACTCGTACAACTCGTAGCTTACAATCAGTAAGTTACAAAATCATATTTCACCCTAGTAGTGATTACAATCGCAAGACTTATAATTGTGTATTGCAGGTGAAACTGATTGTGGATGAGATCGGAGACAAGATTCCCGACCCTTTCAACATCGTAGACATGATGGCTCGTGTAGAGGAACGAACGCCGTACATCATCGTTGCGTTCCAGGAGTGTGAACGGATGAACAACTTGATGGGGGAGATTCGCAGGTCTCTCAAGGAGCTCAGTCTAGGCTTGAAGGTGAAGTTTGAAATTTTAAAACCACTTTTGTAAAACCACAAATCTTCCTGATCTATCAAGTAGATAGCAATGTATCTGGGTATTAGATAAAACAAGTCTACGCTGTGACAAAGTTTCTGATCCAAGCATAATTCTGGGTACTAAATGCTGGGTTGTGTAATCTCATGATTCATTATTTTATAACTATAGTCATGGATGATCCTTAGTTTTTTGGTAATATAGGTGAAATAATGCTTTTATTTTTGTTTCCTACTACTACCTCACCCAGCCTTCAGCATGTTATTCTAACACAGACTTTTTTACTCCCCCCATTATTCAATTGATTGCAGATAGTACCTCAGACAGATATTTACGATTACAGATTTTAATGCTTGCTGTCAATCGGAAGACACTATCAGCACATATTATTTCACTCGGTTGTTCCAAAAGTTCAGAAGACATTACAAAAATAATAGGGCATTCTCAGAAACCTATTACCCAGGTAATGGTTGTCGGGTCAGTAACAGTATTATTTGTATTACGTTAACATAACACCCACATTACTGTGTTCACAGGGAGAGCTCACCATCACCGGCGAGATGGAAGTGTTGGAGGCTGCGTTGTTCCTAGACAACGTGCCCGAGGGCTGGACCAAGCTGGCCTACCCTTCACTTCTGGGACTTAGCGCTTGGTTCGCCGATCTGATGATACGGCTGCGAGAACTCGAGAATTGGGTTGGTGACTTCAATGTAAGTTTTTATTTATTGAAAATTCAAACTCATACCTGCTCATTTGTGATCAACATAAAACTCATAAGTTATCATATATATTAAAGTGTGTTAGACTATAGTGTTATTGACGACGTGTCATGAGTGTAGCTCTTCAATGCATTTTGTGACGCTGCAGCTGTACTGGTAACTGTATTATAAATAAATCTTTATTGGTCATTAAATAACATATGTTACAATAGACCTCGTTAACAAAAAAAGGGCCATAGATTCTAGATAGTATAACATGGTCTATAACATGGAATCTTCACACTGGGGCTTAAGCAGTTTGCCTAATCTAACCTGCAAACGCTAGTGTTGACGTATGCTTATAGAGGCAATCGTCCCAGCTGGCCGACAATGGCTTGATAGATGAGTTGGCTAAGGCGTTGCACTGATGAGTGTATTGAGATGTTTCTACATGTGCAGGTTCGAATCCTGCAATCCATGATAAGTTTACTAAAGTGTGGTGGCTGATCTGGTGCGAAGACCAAACTAAAATAGGCAATAAGCAGTGAGGATTTGACTTTTTTTGCTTTTATTTTGTTTATAATTGGACATCTTAAGTAACATGTGATAAAAGACATCAAACAAATAACCTAAAAAATATACAAAAAAAATCAATGTGTTGTATATGTGAGATATACATATACAATGTTTACCATTTACCTTAAATTTTTTAATTTTACCTTTTTTGCTTTTACGCCTAAGTTTATTGTAAAATAATATCCCAGGATCCTAACTAATTCCATTGGTGTTAGTTTTATATTATTAGGTCACCCAATGAATCAACAATTAACTGACGTATCTTCCTACAGTTACCGTCGTCTGTGTGGCTGGCCGGTTTCTTCAACCCGCAGTCATTCCTGACGGCCATCATGCAGAGTACGGCTCGCAAGAACGAGTGGCCGCTGGACAAAATGTGTCTACAGTGTGATGTCACTAAGAAGCAGAAGGAGGAGTTCACCGCGGCGCCGCGCGAAGGCGCTTACATCAACGGACTGTTCATGGAAGGCGCTCGATGGGACATCGACTTTGGCTGCATCGCCCCTTCTAAGCTAAAGGTTTCTTTTTCACAATTCCATCATGCATAGTGTGAAATCAATTGAGATTTTAAACTTTCCATCCCTCATTTTTTCATGGATGAAAAACACACCAAATTGTATTATATTTATCTTACATTACCTCTTTGAACACATTTTTTTTTTATTCGAGTATTTTCCAATCTCTGTCCTCTATTTTTCTAAAGTAAACCAGCTGGAACGTTTGAAACGCATCTTAAACAATTTGTTGCAAGTGTTTTGTCAATAATTCGTCCCTAGCATCTTCCAAATGTTGTGTAGATGCCTTGATATGTTTTTTTAGGTAGGCTACAATCATATTCTAGATCCAGTATTTTTTACTTATTCACAATGGACAAATGTTGCATATCACTCAAATTTCTTTGTTAACAAATTTCCATAGCATAAAAAAAAACTGCTATCTCAATAGAATTGTAGTTTATGGACAACATAGGAAATTCTGAATAATTGTTTTATTTTCTACCAGTTTCAAACTTGACTTTTTCTTTTTGTAGGATTTGTTTCCCATGATGCCTGTGGTGTTCATCAAGGCAATCACACAGGACAAACAAGAGACGAGGAACGTTTACGAGTGCCCCGTCTACAAGACGAGGCAGCGCGGGCCGACGTACGTCTGGACCTTTAACTTGAAAACTAAAGAGAAAGCGTCTAAATGGACCTTGGCTGGAGTGGCTATATTGTTGTCCGTCTAAGGCTTTGAAGCTTCATGTTGAATGAGACGGAAAGTGTTGTTCAGAGTTGTTAGTTTGTTGTAGTTAATTAAAAGTTTAAATTGAAATGGTTTTAATTATTTACTTTTTGTACTACTTATATGTAAATGAGGATTTTCAAATTGTCATTTGAGTTAACTGCACTACCAAATGCTATGCAAGACAGTTTTTACTTGAAAATTTCAATCCTGTAAAAAGACAAAGGCTTGTTGATGGTTCAAAACTGAACCCGATTGACCTTGAGAATCAGGCTTGGCTAAATGATTTGGCTAAAAAACAGCTGATATAAGTCAGTAACAAAGCTATAACGGTACTTTAATTTCTTCAGCCTTCATTCTTACCAATGAGCACAGTGTATCACAGTTAGTTAAATCTAGTCCAACAAAACTATACACTGCTTAACATAGTGGTAAAAGATTTTGCACTGAAATTTGAGGATCTTTGAAGGTTAGTGATTGGATCTACACATAGATAAACAAAACATAGATTTATATTTTTATTTATTAAGTAATATCAAATCAGCTACATTCTACAATGAAAGGGGATAAACATTTAAAGTGATAACAAAAATAGTATTTCTAAGCGAGAATATAGTTGGTTTTAAATTTATTTTAGAAATTTAACATACAACTTTTTCTGCAACGATAGAGTGAGAATGTAGTTTTTTTTTACATCTATCTTTAAAGAATATCAACACAGAACTTTGTGGAAAGATGAATCTATCTTGAAGCAGAGAGCATTTCACAATCAGAATTGAGATCATCCTCAAGCTTCTCATAATCAAAGTGGCGATCCTTTACGTTGTTCATGAACGTAGTACCAGATTCTTCAAGGCCGTCAACGCTAGAAAATTTATATTAGTAATAAAAGTATTTTAAGTGATGTGTTTATTTAAAAATTGCATTTTTTTCTGGTAGTTTATTTTAAAAACTATTTTTGTAATTAAAACAAATAAATGATTACTGTTGTATCATATAAATACGCCATTGTATCCCCAAAAAGACCTGTTAAATACCTATAGTTAAAATAAATTGCAGCTGTTCATAATACATACAAGAGCGTTCGTTTTCAGAGTGAGTTAGTTTTTCGTTTCAACAACTGGAGTGGAGTGATTGATAACATTACCTTTGAGTAGACTTTGTTTAAGTCATCGGAAATTATGACTGTTATTAGTTTTGAAATAACGCCTGTAATACTTAGCAATTGCTCGAATTTGAGCAATAGGTGCACTAGTATAAATAATTATGTGCAGATTACCTGTTAATGGAATCCAAAGAATGCTCGGTTCCTAGGCTGCTGACTTTTACATTGATGCCATAATCTTTTGAATCTGATATGGAACAGTTTTCCATTGTGAAAGAGCAGCCTCCCTTTATCTGAAATAGCAAGTAATGAATTATGGTTGATGAATTGTTTTGGTTATAATTTAAAAGTTGTATAAGTAGTGGAAAGACTTTGTAAGTGACAGATCCTGTTAAATTTATTATTTATTTGAGAAAACAAAAAAACATAGCCTAATATGTGTTTCTGTTTCCATAAAATTGTGAAATCAACTCGAGCTAACAAGTTTTACATTAAAATTACCACTTTTTCCTCCTTGTCAATATATAAAAAAAAATGGATCTTAAAGTAAAATTAACAATTGGATGAGTCTTCCTCGCTGGGTTTGTTTGGATACTATCACTGGTCACTGAACACAATTGGATAAGATAACTTAGTGTAGTAGTAACACAAATCTTGAAAGAATGCCTATAGTACAAATCAAGGTAAGGCGAACACAACAGACAGGCCATGTTTGCATCTGATGCAAATTAGTATCGCTACGAATACAACCAGACATTCCATTCAGATGTGAAAGTTGTAGCAACTTTTGGAATAAAATCAGAAGTAGTTGAATTTTTGAACAACCGAACAGAGTGTGATGAAGTAAATTATTTTTCTCAAATACGCCAACTTTTTAGCCAAGCGAAACTTTAACTAGTATATTTAATGTTTCAGCCAATATCAAACAACAACAACAACCAACAAAAACCAACTGAAAGAACATAATTGTTGGACAGTAGCAGACTCAATGAGTAGCTCCTTTAACGATGTTAATGTTAAATACTAAATTGGCTAGAGTTGGTCCATATAGATGGGAGGTCTAACTTCAGTACCAAAAGTCCATGTTTTTAAGTTAAAGATTTAATAGGATTTACACTTTTAACAATTGCAATAATTTACCCATATATACTACTTGCTAATTTTAGGATGCATCAGATTCCATATCATGAAATGTTGTGAAAACTTTTTTTTACCAATCGTAATGTAAGCCTGCAATAACAACTACCCTTACCTCAATAGCGACCCGATTGCCGTTGAACGTGCAGTTACTCAGCGCTATTGTGGAGTTAGTGTCGCACACAATGGCGATGCGACAGTTACGAAAGTGACAGTTGTTTGCTACCAACTTCCCTCCAGGAAACACATCCACAGCGTCTGTTACTGAGGCTCCTTCTACTGTCACGTCCTGTAGAATACACTCAGTCCCAGGACGCACCTTCAACAAACATAAGTCTTTATGTCCCACCTTTACAACCAAAGACGCTAGGTTCTTCCCTGGAACCGTTTTACACATAACTTCAGGCAAGGTCTAGTGGATTGTGGCATTATCACATAGATAAAATCCATTGGTGATTGGCAAGATTCACGCTCTGCTAGACCAGCTGCTCCCCAGCCTTCTATTGGTACACTTAGTTTTAATCACCGACTAATTGACACACTGCGAAACTTGGCTAAATTTACAATAAAACAGTGTCCAGCTTAGTCAAAGGATGATTCCAGGTTCATAGTCAATCGATTCTACGTCAAAACTTACCTATAAAACAAAACGAACTTAGTGACTGTTGCTTCGCTTCAAAGATGGAATGCTGCAATGTCTCCAAAATGTTGGCGAAAACGATTTCCCTAATTGATTATGTCTTCATCGTTAATAAAAAAGTAGTTTCTAGGACATCAGATATCACATATTGATTAACTGTAATGTTTAGTTATGATTTAGATAATCATCCTTAATAGTTATTACTTATTACTGAATTTCCTATGGAAATTCAGTACGGTAATAAGTACTATAATACCTGCTACTATATGTACCTGTAATATAATATACTGTAATACCTGCATACTATAAGAACACAGATTTTAATTAACACTTTGAGGTCGAATGACGAGTAGGTATATGTTGCCACCTGCCATTTTCCCAACTGCTTGAAAATAACAACCTATACTCACAAAAAAAAATCAAAATCGAATGGCAAACTATACTTGCTGAAAAATGGGGGGAAAATTTGACCTCAAAGGGTTAAAAAAAGGACTTATCGCTTTTTATCTTCTGCATCTTGCTTACATCTCCTCCTCTCTGTAATCGTAAGCAATTAAATGTTCTAAAAGTACTTAGGCCCTAATTTTACAATAATTTGTACAGATTTGAAATCAAATAATAGTTTCTTTACAACCATACCTTTAAGATGTTCCACACATAATTCATTCGGACTGTGAGGTTCGTAAGTCTAAGACATCCGGTTAGCAAATTCAAAAACTTTGGATTTTCTGGAGTTTCTGTTAGGACAGCTCCTGGTTCCACACCTTCAACAAGAAAAATTCATATTTATAGTTGCGTCGTAATCAACCATAGTAAAGATTTTTAGCTTACAAAATAAATGTTGGGGTTTGTTTATCTTAGAACAATAACACCTAACGATCATTTACAAAACTATACAATAAAAACGATGTTGAATTTGAATGTTAAATCAAATAACATAGAATCATGTCCTTCCTGGGTATAATTTAACTTTGTTATAGAATAAATTTGTTTGTGATTTGTTAGTTTGATGAATCACAACATTTCAAAAATCTTTTACCCACAAAACTTTGCCTGCTGATTATATTTTTCTAACTCTCACCTTTGATGGACCCGCCATCCCCAAAGTTCCCTAGTTCTTCGACGGGATGTTCTCCTTGCCCAACCCATACTGAGGCATCAGCTGGAGTCTTTAGCAGAGCTTCTTGTAATAGTTGGAACATCCTGGGTACAATTTAACAAGCCAGTAAGGTTAGACAAATAAGTTTTTAACATATAGTTTAAAAATAAAGTAGAATCTTGTAGAATATTATCTTACCTAAGCTGGATGCACCAAAATCAGATAAGCAAAAAGGTAAACCTGCTTTCCTTTCAATTTCCTTGATAATTCCTGGTAAAATAATGTTAAGTGTAGCCTCAAGTCTAGCGCATATCTCCTTAGTAGCCTACGGACTGGGGCAGTAAAATAGGTTGTCTCAATGTATACGCTACGGTATACAGTTATACCGTCAGGAAAGAGCGAGTGATTTCAAAGAGCGAGGTACTCGAGTGTCGCATAACATTGGTCAGATAACTGGTAGATTAAATAAGCCAAGATTCGATAAACAAGACTACTTTATCGTGCCAAAGTGAGATGCACTGATTGTGCAATGGAAGGAATTAATAATAGAAAAAAACAATTTTTATAAGACCTATAATAAGATAATAGTTAGGCCTATTCATGAGGCAGAAGTATGGAAGGTACTGGTACAAAATATGGGTTGGAGAAATGAGACCGAAATGACTCCGATTCACAAAATAAAAAGTGCCTCGAGGTAGGAAATGTTGGGATCAGAAGAGTAGTTGAATACATTTTAAGAGGAAGAGTAGAAAAGCAAGAATAAGACGGTTTGATATGGGAGAAAGGATTTAACTATGAAAATGAAGTTGGTGATATAGGGAAGGAGAAGGAAACGTTGAAAGACTAAGAAGATTGTTGATGGATGAGGAGTGAGTATTGTGAAATTATGTTCTGTATCGAATCTAAAAAATGCAGAGGTCAACATTGAACAACATTGGATAGAGATGAAACTAACATTTCAACAATCTGTTAACTTTACCATGTAAAGTTGATAACATCTACACATGAGACAATTTTTGTCCAGAGAATGTTAACAGTTTAAATTCTTACCTCACTATTTTGAATTCTGAAGTCATCTTTGCTATCCTGATGAGTTGTTCGGGAGTACTTGATTCCAGAACCAAATAAACAACAGAGTCACCGTTTTCATTTTCCCAACGGGTTTTCTCATTGACCAGAGCACGCTGAATGTAAGCCTTTCTGTAAAAGTAAAAAATGTATTTTTTCAAAATCATCTTTAACAAGAATGAAAAATACAGTACTGTTAAAAGTTTTACTGTTACACAGTCAACCTAACACTCTACTTAGTCGCCTGTTGCCGAAGTAAGAAAGTTCCTGCCTACATTGTATTTTAAGAATTGTGTAGGCTGGAATATTTCATTGGGAACTGCTAATTACAATGTAAGTATTTATGTCAGCTTGAAACAAACTTACTGAATTACTCTGAAATAGTATTCAGTTATTCTGAAAATTGTATTTAAATTACCCAGGAATTAGACAATAAATTATAGTAATTATAGTCAATCGTATGCCTAATATAATCTTTGAACAAAACAATATTGTTAGTACTGAACTGATGGAACTCTCGAGAATAAAATTACAGTATTTAAAATAGTGAAAAGTGACATCAGCAACCTGGTAGGGCTTTTGTATGACCATTGACCAGTAAGACAGCATCTTAGAACCATAACTTAAAGCTCAACCAAACAAAACATTAAAGATTTAGTGCAACGGAGGTAGAATCTGCCAAACACTTGGATTGTTCCCCAGATCTAGGCTAGCCCAAAGTGACCCTTAGGCCGAATGAAATAAGGGAAGTGGGTGTCCAGCAGCTGTTAGGGTTCAAATGCCTAACACTGGTGGATTAAGAAAGGAGACGCTACAAAAAAACCAATAGATCAAAGCATGTATATACTTACAGCAACTCAGGTTTTTCAAAGACACCAAACTGGGTTTGCATATGAGTCATCTGATTGTGTAGTTCAGTCAGTGCTAGTAGCTTTGTAGGGAAGCCTTCCGATTCATCCGACAATTGCTCCTGAATGTCTTCTATCTCTTTGAGGACGTTGCGCCCCTTGGAGATCAGTTTGCACACATTGTAAGCCACCTCGTTAGGAACCTTACGTTCCATCAACTCATACTGTCTGAAATCAGTAACAACATTGGTTTACTTAAACAGCTTAGCATTCACATCTTACAGCCATCATCATCGATTTATCAGCAGAAGTTTCCCAGGTGTTTGACATTGTTGTCGTCTGCCTTGGTGAAAATGTTCTTTTTTCACTTCCTGAATGATGATTTTCTGTCAGCATTTAGTCCTCTGTAGTAGTGTCATGCCATTTATTTATTGGTCTTTCTACACTTCTATTTCGAGCCAGATTTTTTCTACTCTTCATCCATTTTTTCTGTGACCATAACAATAAAGTCTTGCACTTTACATCAGGAAAGGGAGAATTTCTCAGATGGATAATTAAGGTAGTTAACATGGGAGTCCTACCTATGATGGCTTAGATAATTGTTGATATATGTTAACATAACGTATGAACCACAGCGAGTACAAATTAGATCTACATGCTAACTAAATATTAGGCTACATGCATACTTGTAAAGGCTGAAATTCAACTTTTTAATTCTCGGTAATCACAGCCCTTTTTTAACATAAAAAGTGTTTACAGTTTCCAAATTTATTTGTAGTTTGGAAATGCATCATGACTTGTTTATTACATCCTTCCTATTCCACTGACAATTGCTGTATTTCATTTTATGAGATGTTTACATAATCACCCAGTTATCAAATAGCCTTTGCCAACAATTTTAAACAAGTTCAAAAGAAACTGCTTGCTCTGCAACAAGTGGTACCAACTGTGGTGTTACTACAAATGTTCTAGGCTTTGTGTATAAGTTAACTTACAAGTAGAGTCTTCCCTCCAAGTGAGACGTGACCCATGACTCGGAATCATCATAATCCTCATCCCAAGGCATCCACAAGTGGTTGTAGAAAAATCTGAAATTGTGACAAAATCTAGGTACACTACAAGTAGCAACACATCCTGGTTGATTGGTGATAAAAACTCAAGCTTCTGATATCCATGATATTATTACAACTTTAAAAATGTTTACTAATTAAGGAACTATGTTTTACCTAGATTCCAAACAATAACTAAAAGCGTCCATACCTGAGGCTATCAATAGCCTTGGCTGTGTCGACAAGTTTTACCAGCACGATATTGTTATCTTGTTCAATTGTCGGATATAATTCTATCAAAGGAATATCAGTCATCCTTAGAGGAAGGCTAGCAACTCCATCTTCAACTTCATTGATTTGGACAGTACACGACAATTCTTTAAAGTTAATAAGATCAACCTGCAAAAAATATTAGATTAAAAACATTAAACAGTATATATTAATGGGTTTATAGATAAAGGAATCCAAACAGTGGTATCTCATACGATGGACCCCCTTTCCAGTACGGAATAGGAGGAATATTTATTTTACTTTGAGCTTAAATATAACAAAATTTTCAAATAACAAAATGTGAATCGTCAGTAACACATCTGCAAGAAAAATTACAGGGCTCTACAAACTGTGAAGGCCTACTTCACTTCCATAGCATTATGAAGGCCACCTTCACCATCGGAGATACACTAAGATTGTCCGCTGCACTTTAGTTTATGTCCTACACTCATTTGAATTAATATGTTGATCGAAGCTCTAGCCTAAATTAAAATTCATTTTCATAGTCCCAGGATTGCGTAATATGACATATAATGGTTCAAATATAGGTACCTCGTCAGACAATCCTTAACATGTAGTGTCAAAATTGCTACATAGGCTATGTTTCGGCGGTTATTCACTGATCTCCGCCATCGTCAGGAAATGAATTTAGAATTTAGACTAACTCAACTGAGTGTTCTCCGTCCATAGCCAAGTTGGCCGTGGAGGGGCACCAGCCAAACAACGCTGCGGCTACGCCGCGTGACGTCAGTGCAACACTCGATAGTGCTGCTCCTAACGATCACTTGGGGCATTAGACAAACTGTAGTTGTGCAGTTACTGAGTTCAGCGAGCCTGATACCTCCCCAGCTGATATGTAATGGGTCTGGGAATTTTTGGGCTGTCACAATATATTGATTATTTAATTTAATATATCAAGTTTGGTTAGTTAAGTTAACTTAGCCTGACTAGCCGAATGAAATAATTGATATAGGCTATTAAATAATCTATATATTGATATTTGTCTTTCGAATGATTGAAGAACGTAAACTAAAGTGCAGCCAAATGGTCGCAGGTAATTCTAAGATATTCAAGAGATTTATTGTACCATTAAGTAAGAACTTGGGCAAACCACATTTTTCGGTAATTGAAACTTGTGATAATGAAATTGTGAGTGTTTTGACTGAGCAATAACCTAGGCCTAGGCAAGAAAACCACCAATCAATACTAGCCTAACTTACTTACAGTCACAACCACAGTAGATGGAAAGTTGATCTTCAAACTAGTACACACATCGTGAGAGATCTTCCAAATCGCTCTCCAACCTGCTGGTTCAATAAGAAATTCCAAAAAATTGCTCCATTCCCTTTTCACATCATCTGCTTTCAAATCACTAGTTAAAATACAGTTGTATTCATCCAACCTTTCCTGGAAACTCTTTGAAAACACAAACAAATCCTGAGTCATGTTGCTATAAGCTACTAACATTCAACGATGCCTCCAAACTATCAATAGTAAGCTATTGTTTTTATACTGAGAAAATTGTAAAAAAAAATAATTATTTATAAAAGAAAAGTTCCTAAAGTAAAGTAACTGAATTGCAACTTTACAACACAATCATTTTTCATATCATATCAATCATATCAACCGGGAACAGACATAAACTTGTTTGGTTTGGCGACTGGCGTTTGCATTGCTTCTTCCTCTTCCTAGTTCAAAATGCGTCTGCTTCTACTTTTTTTCTTGATAACTCTTTGGTTTGTATTTTACATTTTTATTTTCAGCAACTCCACTTGGAGCGTTGTGGAGCTGGCTAGATCTTAAATATTGCCGTAAACGTCTCATACATTCGTACAACCGGATTGAACACCTTATTAGTAATAGAGCCAGACTTAAAACAAGTTATTTCACTCGCGTTAGAGTTGACAGGTCCTAAATGAAAAAAGGCAGTTTCTATTCGCACGTCAGACGTGCGCCGCTCACTGAGCTAAAATTATAACTGGAGGTAGCACCGCCATGGCAGAAGTCTGTCAAAAGCGTGTCGCTGATTTTGTTAGGTTGGTATAGCAGCGAGTTTTCTTATCATAGCAATAACATGGCTTCTATAACTAGGTTGGTATAGCAGTGAGTTTTCTTATCCAATAACATTGCTTCTTTTTAACTCACACCTCACGCAAACATGGCGGCTGGCGACACGCATCTTTGACATTCAGTGCTACCTCCAGTTAGAATTATAGCTCAGTGGCGCCGCTACCACGCACGTCTGCTCCAAATGACGTCACATTACGTTCCTAATCTAGTAACTGTTATAGCTGTTTGGGAACAGGCTGCGAACAAAGATATCCTAGTATTAGGAACGGTAACGGTAGTTAGAGATGGAAATTACGGCTACTTTTCGATAACGCGTTCCACCGTTCCGTGACTGACTGGTATTAGGTGACAGTAACCTGTTACTTCTGTCACCTAATACCGTGTCACTTCATGGCTTCAGTTACCGCGTTCGTTACCGTTACATACATTCCCTCCAGATCCATTTGGTAATGTCAACAGTCAGTCACGGAACGGTGGAACGCGTTATCGAAAATTAGCCGTAATTTCCATCTCTACGGTGATAGAGTAATGTGAGTTATTCTAAATTATTCAAAGTGAAAGTTCAATGTTCAATGCACTGCAACATAGTAACAGTAACAGATGCAAGTTAATAATTAATTGTATACTTTAAAATTAGTCTTGTTTCTCGACTGATTATACAACAAAATACAATAAAAACACCATTTTATTTTTAGTTATTAGGACAACTATTATGGGAATACTGAAAATCTCAGTAATTTAAGTATTATTAGTTTATAGGAGTGAACATTTTTAAGGAATAAAAAAAAACATGTAATTAACAATGTCTTATTATTTGAAAACTGATAAGTAGGCCTATAACATATTATAAAGTGTAAAAAACCAAACATACTTTTTGAATACTATACAAAAATGAATTGAATACTATACAAAAATGAATAGTACAATGTTACTTTTACCAAGTTTACCATAGTTAAGTAGTGCCTTGTTTATTTTTAATTAAGTAAGAATTCGAATTTAAGAACAAGAGCTGTTCTGCTCTTTTTGAGTCTAGTCTGGTACGTCTTTCAGAACTGATGTAGCCAGCTTTGGAAAAAAGTCTCTCGCAGGGAACCGATGTTCCTACAACACAGAACTTAGTTTTTGCAACTTCGCTGAGTAGTGGATATAGCTTTTCATTATGTTTCCACCAAAGAAGAGGATTCTCTTTCCGTCCGATACACTCTTCTTCTAAATATCGGTTTAGCTCCACAATTGCTGCAGATGTTTTGGATCCTGAAATAAAGCACAATATCGAATTTAAAATTATACAGAAGGCCTACTATAAAAACTGTATGTAGGTTATTAAGATGAATTGAAGTTTAAATCGTGCCGGTGGCGGTGGTTATGTAAAATTAAATTACAGAAGACAGTGTATGTATGTATGTAGGATTAATAAATTACCTGAAGGTTTTTTTGAAGATATCATACTGTCAAGGTCCTTCCAGACTGAAAATTTTGATGTTTGTTCAGGTTGATCATCTTCATTTGTTTCTTGGCCTTTAGCCTCATTCGCAGTTGATGCACAGTCAGTTCTTGCTGTATACTTTCTCTGCCAAATACCAGCCATCAGGTGTGAACAGTGGGCTTTGATGCCATCAGCTGCATGTTTGTCTGTAAACACTGCCAATTTGAATCTAGGATCAAGCAAAGTTGACAGTGCTATTGTTTTGCTTGATTCAATGTTAGCCAGTCTTGTTGTCAATCCTTTTAATAATTCCTTGATGACAGCCAGAGTCTCAGGTCGAAACTGTTCTTTAAGCATTTGATTGCAAACACGTATTAAACTGTTGGTCAGGGGAATTACCTGACTGCCTGTCATATAGCCCTCTCCTCCAAGATTCCTTGTTACCTCCTCGAAAGGTTGGAGTACAATAATCAGTTCTGAGCAAATCGTCCACCCAATTTCTGTTAACACGGGGAGACCTTTGTTTATTAATGCTACAGTTGTCTTGACTACATCCTGTAGTTCCACAATTCTTGATAACATGTAAAAGGTGGAATTCCACCTGGTTGCTACCTCATTGATGAGTTTTTTTGGGTTTAAGCCCATGGTTTTCTGCACTTCAATAAATTTATTAGTAGAGTTTGAACTTCTCTTGAAATGTCAGACAACAGTTTTTACACGATCAACCAACCCTACAACGAGTTTCAAACCATTTTGTAAAACTAAATTTACCGTGTGTGCGAAACACCCAAAATGTTTTACTTTAAGGATCGCTGCTGCTGCCACAACACTACTTGCATTGTCACTTACTAAAATTGCAACCTTATCACTTACATGAAACTTTGCCATTATTTGGTTAATGGCTGATGCCAAATTTTCACTTGTATGTGCGGATTTCAAAACAGAGCATTCTAATAGTACAGATCGCAACTCAAAGTCATTAGTTATAAAATGGGCAGTAACTGCCAGGTAACCTTCGTTATTGGCAGATGTCCAAGTGTCCGTGGTGAGGGATACACTGTCAACTGATAACACCATCTGACGGACAGCATTCATACATATTTCGTACTCTGTGGGTATCATTGTGTTGGAAATCATTTTTCGGTTTGGGAGTTCATATGAAGGATTAAGGATGCTTACAAAGTTCTTAAAACCCCTGTCCTCAACTATAGAAAAGGGCTGGTAGTCATATACAAATAAATCCAGAAGAGCTTTATCTAATTTTCTCTTTTGAGTCATGCTAATCTTTTTAGGCTGCGGAAGGAAAGATGTTATGGTAGGTTGATCATCATTTGGCCGTGCAACTGAGGTACTAGGTCTGGTTAAAATTGCGCATTCAATGTTTGCTGATTTACAACTACTACTTGAAATTACAGTGATATGTTGGACAGCGAGATGAGTTAGGATTAAAAGAGACAAAGACAAGACCACATTGTACAACGACAAACGACATCTTTATTAAAGACCAACCAGAGACAACTTCCGTTCTCTACATCACAATCCAAAGGCTTGTACAGTAAAGTTCCATTGAGGCCTAGGCCATAGATTAACCATATGTAATATATATATATAAAGATACATCATTGCCCTCCACTTTAAATAACAAAAATTAATTATTAGGTTAGGCCTACATTTTGTAATATAACAACATCAACACAACCTTTCAGTCATATTCTGAGAAGGTAAATCTTTTAGGTGGCTTAATGACTCTCCCTTTACTTGAGACATTAGGCAATGGAGTGTCTCTCATGTTAAAGCTAGGCCTAGGTGGAGACCAGGGTGATGTTTGGTTGGATTCAGATTGAGTAGCAACAGGGGAACCTCCAGGAGGGATAGGTCTTGGCGGAGTGCTTGGATTTCTAGTAACAGGTTTAGGTGCACTAAGAACTAGTCCTTTCAGGACACTACCAGTAGAAAAACACACTTTCAACTGATTTACATGGACTTTATGTACGGTCCCAGCTGATACCTTGATAATGTACACTGTAGGGCTTATTCTTTTAACTACTCTTCCTATCTGATACTTAACTTTTATACCTTTGGATACAGGTTTGTTAAGATTCACCCACACAAGTTGATTGACTTCATAACATTGAAATTTTTTAGGTAGGCCTATGTTAGTTTTTGACTGGTTTGGCTTAATTATCTTAGTATCCTTCAAATTAAAATTTACTTCCTTTTTTGTTACAGTCAAAGGTGTCCTAGGTACAAAACTCAATAACATAGCCATTGGAGATTTTCCAGTGACAGAAGTGGGGGTAGCTCTGTATGCAAACAGAGATTCAGACAATGACTGCTCTGGTGTTAAGTTTTTGCATTGGGATAATGTCAACTTAGATAGCAAAACTTTGAAAGTTTGTACTGCCCGTTCGGCCTGCCCATTTGACTGAGGTGAATATGGAGGAATGTAAAATAGTTTGATATTCTTCCTGTAGCAAAACTGTTTTAACTCTACTGAACAAAAAGGAGGACCATTATCCGTAACAATTACATTAGGGAAAGAAAATCTAGCAAACACTTCAGCAAGTTTGGACATGATGATATTGTAATCATGTTTACCTTTCAATAAAAAACATTCAATCCATTTTGAATATGCATCACAAAGAATCAAATATTTACAGCCATTGAAATCAAATAAATCAAGATGCACCCGCTCCCAGGCCTTTTTTGGTTTAGGCCATGAGACACGGAACTTGTTGTTGCGTTTGTTTTGTGTGGCTTGACAAACAGTACAAGAAACTACTTTCTTATAAATATCATTATCTAGGGATGGCCACCAAACATACGATCTAGCAAACAGCTTACATCTGGTTATGCCCGCATGACTAAAATGAACTAACTCAAGAGCCTTATCTCTTAGGCTAACTGGTATTACAGTACGACTACCAAAAAATAAACAACCATTGTGTACACTTAAGTTATGCTTGTTTTGTGCGTACACTTGCAATTCCTTTTCAACAGAACGAGGAAAACCCTCAAGTACATATTTAACTACTTTGCATAATGCTTGATCTTTGAGTGTCTCAAGGCTAACTTCTTCAAAGGAAATCAATGGTGTTGACAAGTAAGTGAATAGGCTATCTACTTGATCTTCTACAGAACTAACAGCACTAGGTAGCCTCGAT